ATCCTCAGTCCAGTTGGCCCCACTGGCAAAATGCCATACATGCAGCAACACATGCACACAAATTCCCAATCCATTCATGCTCGTTGGACGCCCAAATGTCCAGACCGTTGCCACTTGCTGATGAGGGCTCGACAGCTTCATGCAGTTGCACATGCATTCAAATTCTCAAATTCCGTTCATGCGCGTTGTACGTCTAAGCGTCCAGACTGGTACGTTCCTCTGGTTGTAGGCTCGACAGCGATGCAAGGAAAAACGGCCCAGCATCGGCACTCCAGTCAGTAGACACCACAGGGCAGAGGCCCTTCACGCTGTATCGTATGCATCCAAATTCAATGCATCACCCAGATTGCTGCAGTCAGTTTGGTGTAAGCCGTGGTATGCAGAAAGCATAGCCCAAATTCCATGCATGCACAACGAAGGCTCTGTGCTTCCAGACTCGCGTTCAGTGGAGCATGTATTCGGCTGCCAGACATACATCAGTGCAGCATAACAGACTCCATCATCTCGGCCGGGCATCTCCCAAGAATACGTTTTGCGTCCGCGGTGTCAGCTATGGGACATACATCAGGGGCAGCATAACCAGAACAGCCCATCATTGGTCTCTCCGTGGGGAATCCAAGGAGACACACAATAATGAGTGGCATCAAAGCAGTCCCAGTGGTCAGAGCAGTCGTCTAGTCGTCGCGCCAGGGGCCGAAACAGCATTTAGAGCGTGGCATCGTCTGCCATCACAAGCCAGCCAGGACCCAGAGGTGCGAGCAGAAAACTGGCAGTTGTGAGCCATGGCAGAAGCGCCGCGGGCTAGGGCTACCTAGACCCCGAATAGGGAGGGTTGGAGGAGAACCCACAACACGAACGAGAACGCGGGAATGACGGGGCCGGAAAGACCCTCCAAACCCCTGCTTTGGCGTGGTTCCCGGCAGCACTGCCCTGTTTGTGCCCGTCCCCCGATCGCGGTGGTGATGCGGAGCATGAAGATCCTGTCAGGCTTCAGTGTGTTTGTAGGGCAACGGGAGTAGCAGTGGGCTCGCTTCTGGTTCGGCAACAATGCCACTCAGAAACGACAAGACGCTTGGCTTGGAGCTAAGGAACAGCAGGGCATATGACAGTGCAGGCATGTATTGACACTAGAGGGGAGGGTATGGCTATGTACGCTGCAACAAGACGCTGGGGCTATGGTGTAACAAGACTCCATGACCTAGGGAGGAAGGGAGCGGGGGGGGGGGGGGGGGAAAGGGGGGAGAGGGCAAAGGGAGAGGGGTGGTTGTGGGTTTGTGTGGGGTCGTCCAAGAAGACACTCGAAGCGGCATTTCTTCTGCTTGGCTGTGGATGCTCGGTACTGTTGCAAAAGACGACCTATGATCATTCCCAAATTCGCAGGCTTAAATTCATATTCTTGAATTCAATGCAGGCATGCTGAAAATTCGATGCACCAAATTCGGGTCTTCACGACACTTGCAGTTTGCATGAAATTCAGGGGCCAGGCGCATGAAAAACATCGCTCTCGCCTCCTACTGTACGAGCATGCATCATCACAGTCGTCGGATGTGCTGCTGAGGGGCCATCGACACATGGAAAACAGGAACATAGAGGCCACAAAGAAGTAGCAAAACAGTGCAACATAGAAAGGATCTCCAGGCCCTCAAGAGCAGCGAGACATTTACAATACATGTGCTCCTAGCATCTGTGCAAGAACCGACCTCGGGATGAAAATGACCTTCCCATCCGGGAGCGTGATCGGGCACAAATATCCCTGCCCTTGGCGGCTCACCATTGGGAGGGACTCGTCCAGGTTCAGCATCGTGGGCCCTGGTAGGGGTTTAGGGTTGAGGATGGTTTCAATACAAGGCGCGCTCCAAACGACCGCCACCACCATCTGAGAATGGTTACGGCCGTCACCAGATGTCACCAGCGCGATCATGATCAGCATCGTCATCATCATGGCATTATTCTTGGCCGTCGTCGTGCCAAAGTGGTCAACACCATCACCAGCAACACCGCGCTTAGTTCCGCAGGTGCTCCCTCATCTTGGTCGAGCAGATTGGTCACAACAACAAGAAGAGAACGGTCACGCATTTGGGCTACGCAGAAAGTAGCTCGCAAGTAAGGGCATCGGCACGACATTTTGTCTGCCACTGGTCCAGAAGTAGAACCACGAGCTGGCGACTGCTAGCGAAAACTGCAGGTACCCTCATCCTACACCATCTCGGCAGCTTTACCCGACCTCGCCTCGATGCGAATGTGCCATGTCCTCCTCAAACCTGCTTATCCACGCCCCCGGCACTGGAACTTTGATACCAGGAAACTGTTGCTGACTCGGCTGCTGAGATGGGGTGGCAGCACAACTGTTGGCCGTGCTGGAATCCAAGACGAGCCCACCTTACCAACCCCCCACTTACAAACCTTAGGCTAACCTTGCAAACCTTGCCGTTAATGAGACCCGAGAATGGCAAACTGCAATTACCGAGATCGTGGCGGCTCCTTTGCCCCATTCGTTGACTCCTGCCATCGCGTAACCACGTTTTATTGACAAGTGGGGTTGTTGGGTTTACTATCCGAGAATTGCCAGCAACGAGTCGCGGGAAGTCGAAGCAACTGCGAACGTGGGGTCGTCAGAGCAAAACATGCAACATGTACTTGCGCACTTCTTGTGTTGCGTCTCCTCTTCGCAATACTACTAGGGGAAAGAGTAATGTAAGAGTATGTAATACTGATCATTACGAAAAATGAACACGAAAGATGCGGTGGAGAATTCCTGGACTTGAGCCTGGGAAGCTGATGTTATGAGCCGCTTGACCTCTTGGCCAGCCCTGGCTTCACAACATCTTCGACTCCAACCCCGCCAAAGCCTGGAAATAGAGCTGGAAAGTCGAATCCACATATGCATACATATATATATATATACAGATATAGATAGATATATCACATATATATATATATACATATCATATACCACATTTAGATATATGTATATATATATATATGTATAAACTCTGTTCCCTGGACTCCAAGCCCTATCTCTGCATGCTCGTGCCCGCAATGCAGTCGCCTCGAACTACCGTCGCCTCGTCAGCACCGCCCACCTCCGAGGGCCAGCACCCCAGACCCCCGGGAGGATCTAGAAAGTAAGGTCTATGGGGTTTAGGGGTTAGGGTTTAAGGGTTTCGGCGCTCACACTCGGTTTAAGGGTTTAGGGGTTCAGGGTTTAGGGGTTTAGGGGTTTAGGGTTTAGGATCTAGAAAGTAGATCCCCTAATTTGGGGCCCTATACTACTAAGGGTACCTTATAGGAACCCCCATTAAGGGATCTACTTTTTGGATCCTCCCGGGGGTCTGGCACACACCAAACCTTTAGGACAAGTATGGGGGGTTGTATGAGGGTTTAGGGTTTAGGGGGTTGTATGTACTTGCAGTTTACTCTATGTTGTCTGAATAAACGATGGAGTACTATCAAGCGGATATACAGGTTACTCTAAGTTGTGTTAATCGTGAACTAGTATCAAGACAAGTCTAGAACCTCATGAGGAACCCTTTTTTTGGAATGGAGCGACTCACTGGTGCGCGTGTCAACCTCAGCTACGCCGCGACGACGGCCGGCGTCGGGTGCATCGGTGATTCACGAGAGGAGAAATGGTCGGACGGTCGTCCAGACAAAGACCACAGAACTTTGGAGTGGTTAAGGAGTGTAAGGTTTAGGGTTTGTATCTATTATACGGGTGAATGACTGCAGTTCTTGGAGTTGCAGTGATAGGACTCTAGGTCTACAGGGGTTGGATTCTCTGTGCACAGCACGACCCCGATTCAAGGATTGCAATTTTGAGCTCTGCGGAGTCGGAAGGCAAGTGGCCAATGCAGCAAAGCGTAATGGACCGATGTGTTTGTAGGAGTCTGCGCATGTGCGGCTACGAAGGCTTGCATGTTTGCATGTCTCTGAACACCAGCGACGTGAGAGAAAGAGCGCGAGAACAAAACAAAAAGAGACTGACAGGCAGGCAGGCAGGCACACAGGCAAACAGGCAACATCTGCATGGAGAAAATAATCGTCGAAGATATCGTCTTCAAAGATCACCCGGAGACCACAAACAAAACTGAGCAGTACAATCGTTCCCTCAGACCAACGTTCACGCCCCATTGCCTCCTCAAGTAGTTGTACTTATGGAGCCGATTGACACCAAACTGACTGCTTTGCAAAGGGCGCTGTTGCTGCTCACTAGTTGAGCTACCCATCAGTACAGACGCCTGATTGCAGACTTTGAACACGAGTCAAAGACAAGCTGCTTCTCGGAAGCTTCAGCTAGTGCCGTTTCCCTGATTCCTAGTCCGTGTTTCGCTGTAGTTCGACCTGAACGTGATCGGGATACCGCTGGCTTTCGGGTCCACCTGCTTTCACTTTACCTTAACCTCAGTGCATTGGATCTACAATTTAACATCCTAATCCCTAAACCCTACCCCCTACATCTCCACTGAACCGGAGCCCAGCATTCAACCCTCAAGCCGAGACATCCCCAGGCCATGGAGATAGGGTTTAAGCTTCTGCTTGCCTTCGTTTACGCCTTGCGTTCGTTTAGGGTTTAGGGTTTGGTTGCAGCGCTTAGGAAAAAAGGTTGTAGAGGTTAGTCGAGTTCTGAGGTTTCGGGAAAGTTGGACACAAGGGCGGGCGTAGGGAAACCCTTAACCCTCAACCCCTGAACAATTACCGCGCGGGCCGGGAAGCTCGGCCGGGCGTATGTCGGCTCACCTTGCGCAGGAAAGATTCTAGGTTGTAGGGTTTAGGGACCCTACCTGGAGGTTCATGGGTAGTTTCCAGTAGGGCTATAAGTAGGGTAGCTATACTTGTTTCCCATATTTGGGGGACTTTTCGCCCCACTTATAACTACCCATGAACCTCCAGGTAAGCCCCAAACCCGAAGCCCTAAACTCTTACATACTCCCTTAAAACCCTAAAACCCTCAAAGGAACCCTTAAACGAACCCTTCTTGAAAGGGATGAAACCATGCCCGGGTGCTGGGGCCTGGGATCACATCTCGCGGTTTTCACGATCTGCTGTCTGGTGCTTAGTACTTGGAGGATCATGGGACTTAGTATGTTTTTTAAGGGTACTATAGGGGTCTATAATAAAGGGATCCTTAAAGGGATCTATAAAGGTTCTATAATGGAGGTCATGTGACTTAGTAAGTAAGGTTATAATAAGTACCCTAATTGGGGTTATAAGTATAGTTACCCTAATTATAACCCTAGTTACTAAGTCCCATGATCCTTTAAGTAGGGAATGGGGGAATGGATCCTTATACTAGTCCCTATATAATCCTCAATAGTAGTTCCAATAACAACCCATCTCTCCATTCCCTACTAAGAACCAGACAGTCTGGGTCCAGGCGTGGGGAGTGCATGTCAGGATAAGTCTTCCCTTCCTTCCGAAGCATGCTTACCTGGGCTCTTGATCAGAAGTTTAAATTCAAGTCACCATAATAAGGAAAGCGCGCTATGTGCTGTAGATCCCTATCCCTAGGCATCTAAGGACTCACATATGAAGGCTTTTGGGCCCAAAGACCATACTATATAAGGCTTTCAGGCTATGTTGATGCCCAGGGCATTAGATTTAAGATAGATTTCTTAAACGGAACCCAGTTAAAATCTGCGTCCACGAACGATTCCCCATCCGGAGCACTCTCCCACTCAGAAGCCTCAACAAAAGCTCCTGGGAAGCCAAACCTGGTAACGTAGGGGCCTTAATAATTACCTGGACCCTAAGGAACCTACCTTTAGGGTTCCCTAATATGATTTCTTATATAAGCCTTTAAAAAGGTAGGTTACTTGGGGTTAAGGTAGAATAGGGTTTAGGGTTTAGGGCTCCTTAATGCTTATAACTATAGTAAGGAACCCAAAAGAATAATATTTTGTATTTATTCAGGCTTCTATTTTAAACCCAGGGTTTTCGAAAGTCAGACGATCAACGGGTCCTGCAATCAGGATCCAACTACCTGCATCACTTGTATCTCCCTCCGTAACTCTCTAGGTTGGCACCTTAAATCGTCTGAAACCGCGTGCAAAGTAGCAGATAAGATCTTCTTAAGGCGATGACTGGAGCTGGGATCCCCTCTACTTTGCCTTGACGGCATGAGCATATTGATGTTCCAACTTTCTGGGCTTCTACCTTACTTTTCTGAAATGCGACACCCAGCTCAGGTCGCGGCGGCTGCGTTGCTGCTTTGGCCGCACATGCTCGGGAATCAGGTGATGCGCTGGATTCTGTTCCTGTAGGGTTTCGGCACTCGCACTCGGACAGTCCAGGAGAGTTTGGGCTTTAAGGTTTCCAGCCTGCAAAGTTTCTGCAGTTCGGCTCCACGCATGCATAGGGTGCTTGACAAACTTAGTTGCTGAGTTCATAAGCCCCCAAAAAGTATACACTTTCCGTTTTATAGTGGGTAATACTATCCCAAAAAGTGTGAAGTGTATCCACTCAGCTACTAAGCAAAGACGATTTGGATGTAGTTGCCGTAGGCCGTGTTGCTCCGAATGACCCTGCAAGCCATGAGCACACAAAAATCCAAGACCAACCCTTTTTTACAGGAATGGGTGAGCAGTCCGGGGGCAAGTACAACCACGAGAAACCCCGGTAATAGGCTGCATTTTGTAGGTGCGGGTTTCCTGGCAAGCCCCGGATGTTGAAAACCGGGTTGAACCAAGTCCTACATCGAGCGATGTGTCTGCAACCCGCTAGCAGAACCCAAACCCAGATTCAGCCAACCCGATGCCGTGAATCGCCGACCGCACTGCCTCCGAGGGCAAGGCCGCGAAATGCTGGGCATACCTGGCTTTCTGGAAACCCATTCTACTCAGCACTGCTCCTCACCGGAGACGTCGATTTGGCCGTAAGCCGTTTATCGGGAAGCAGTTCGTGAAGGAGCCAGACATGGTTCCACGAGTTTAAGCTCTGTTCTTACAAGCACCACTGGCAACTTACTGAAGAGCCAAACCAAACGCACCGAAACTTGCTCTTCTTGTTGCTATTCAACCTATACCAATACTATTTTTGGGGGGTCTTATTACAATTATGGTATACTGGGCCCCAACACTCTATTCTAGTTTTGAAAAGGCACCTCCCCATTGAAAAAACACTAGCAGCACGAGTCTGTGATGACGACTGCAGCTTGCAACACTATACTTGGAGGAGCATGGGACTTAGTAAGGGTTCTTCAAGGGCTCCTTAAAGGGATCTATAGGGTTCCTTAAAGGGATCTATAGGGTTTAGGGTTTAGGGTACTACTTGGAGGATCATGGGACTTAGTATGTTCCTTTAAGGGTACTATAGGGGTCTATAATGAAGGGCTCCTTAACGGGATCCTTAACGGAATCCATAAGGGTTCTATAATGGAGGATCATGGGACTTAGTAAGTAAGGTTATAGGTACCGTAATTGGGGCTATAAGTCTAGCTACCCTCACTGTAACCCTGGTTACTAAGTCCCATGATCCTTTAAGTAGAGGGTAACTGCCGAGGCCGCAGACACCCGCACCCAGGCTCCACACCCTCAGCCCCTAAACTCTCCTCCCCTGTGTCAACCCTAAACCCTTGAACCGTTTTACATGCCCTCAAGGACTACGAGCCACAAACCGTCTACTACTTGGAGGTCCATGGGTAGATATAAGTGGGGTTACATGTAGGGTAACCATAATTATAGCCCACATTAGGGGACTTACAACCCCACTTGCACCCACCCATCCCATGAACCTCCAAGTACCCAAATTAAACCTCAATACATACATCCTTGACAGTTTGCATCCCAGGGGCTGCATGGGATCTGGCTGCGCCATGTGGGGCAATCCGGGAGTTCCCGGTACCTGGGTGCTTCAAGACGTGCAGGGTTTGGGTTTAGGGCGTGAATTTTTGTCGAACATCTTGCCAGTTTTCCCTTAGTTTTAGGGTGCAGCTTTTACCTTCCTCGAAAGGAGCGTTGAAGAAGATGCGGAAAATTGCCCATTCTAGGCGACTACTCTTTTCAATCATGCTCCCTGATTGTAATCCGACGAGTATGAAAAAGCGGGTTGTGGCTTGTAGGTTTAGGGCCCCTGCCTTTGCGTTGGTAGCGTCTGGGGTTCTCGCCAGATTGTCTTGTGGTTGTATTCGCAGCTACTACCACTTCTAATAATCATAAACCACCATCAAAATAACGGTCACAATCAGAGTCATGACAATAAAACTAATATGATAATAGCAGTACGGATAACACTATTAAGAAGAATAGGTAACCATGACCAGCATCATGAAATTAATACGAAAAGTACTAATCAGTCGTAAGAATCGTCGTACTGTAGTAGTGGCGTCTAGGTGGAAGTTTGTGGCGGGGCTTCGGGCAGCTCTTATAGGGTTAGGGGTTCCGGCTTTAAGGTGTCGACGCTCGCACTCGCACGAGGCAGGCAAGGCTCCACATAGTCTACTGTATGTCCACCAAGCCGTGCAGCACATGATGGCTTCGGCTTAGGTTTCAGGGTTTAGGTTCCCAGAACCTGATTAAGAAACTTTGGGCCTTTTTAGGGTTTCTTCTATGAATCCTACTATTTTGGGGTTATAGGCCCAGGGTTTCCTTATCAGATTCCTATATTAAAGGTTTGGGGGTTCAGAGTTTGTGGCTTTAGGGTGCAGGGTTTAGGTTTCAGGATCTACGATTCGCTGGCAAGCGAGTCAGAAGAAAAGCGACCGACGTCGCAAATCTAAAGAAAGTCTGCCGGTGGTGGGGGGACGTGACCTAAACACATGGTGATATTAAGCGGCTTTGGGAATCGCAGGCTCTATCGCAGATCCAAACTAACTTTTTGCATCAGGACTTGTGCAATCGCCTGAATACATGGACGAAGTGCAGTAAGGAGATCCAAACAAACTAAACCGTTAAGCCCTTAAACCTAAAAATGCGCCCATAAACCACAAACCTCTGGAGCCTAAACTCGGCACGAAGAGCCAGTCATGGATAAGGCAGGCAGGCAGACAGAGTTTGCATGTGTACCCACTAGTTTCTTTTTCATACTCACATGCACACGTACGGACATTCATTCATTACATATACACATACAGACAAACACAGACATACATACACAGGCTCCCATGAACCCCACTCGCGCAAGTCCAAGAGGTTGCTCAGAACAGCCCGGAAGCATGAGTACAGCATGCCCACTACATGTGCGCAACCCTGCATCTCTAAATCCTGGAATTGGGAAGGCCGGGAAGGACCCACGTAACTCTTAAATTGGTGTTAAACCCAACGCCTCAGTCGCAAACCCAAAATTACACGAGCTCTATTTTCTCAGCGCTACAAACCCTGGGTAAACCCCAAACCCTATACTGTAGGTATAGGGTTTACGGTTTATATACCCCTATAGGTTTAGGGTGTAGGGTTTAGACCCCCAAACAGGCATAGGCGGCTCCGGGCGGAATTGAGGCATCGGCTGGTGTTTGAAAGGGCGTCTCGGGAGCCCTTGGTTGCCAGGACTTTTTTTACTTAAAGGATCATGGGGTCCTTTGAAGGCGATCTATAGAGGGTTCTAGTATAAGAGGGGTTTTAGGGTCTACTTAAAGGATCATGGGACTTAGTAACTAGGGTTAGGGTTTAGGGTAGCTATACTTATAACCCCAATTAAGGTACTTATAACCTTACTTACTAAGTCCCATGCTCCTCCAAGTAGAAGGCGGTTAAGCCTACTTGTCGGGTATCATGGGGAACTAAAGGTCAACCTTTTGGGCTATATAGGGATTAGATAGGGACTATACTATCCGAAAAAGGTTAAAGGTTACCTACTCTACTACTCGGTAAGGGGTTAAGGGTTAGCTGGGTTAGGGTTAAGGGGTAAGGGCTTAGGGTTAAGGGCTTGGGGTTCAGCGTGGTACGGTTCAGGGTTTAGGTTCAGGCTCCAGGATCGCATGGTCTCAGCGTCTATGGGGTCTCCTTAAAGGGTTCAGGGGGTGCAGGGTTTCAAGTTTTCAGAGTGTAGGAACCGAGCTTTCAGGCAAAAGCTGATGATTGTGGTTAAGGTAATGCTCCTCATTTACAGGGGTGTTGGGATTTCTGGGAGATTGCAGGCTGAGGGATTGGCAACCGGACTCTTCAAGCTTCAACCGCAAGTCCCTGAACCCCTAAGCTAAATCACCAAATCCTCAACCTTATGGCCCGAAGCGCAGGCAGAGCTCCGACATGAGAACATCCGGCTCGAATTTGAACGGAATCACACGTACATCGTCATATGATTTACTATAGATCCCGATCATGGTAATTTCAAATCCCGATCATCGTAACTTGAAATTGAAACTCCTTAACCTCAGTTTAGGGTTTGGACACTGCAGGGTTTTGGGGCTTGGTGGCTTGGTGTGTTTCTGCCTTCTTGCAGGGACGGGCCCGTGTAATCTAGGGGCCTTAATAATTCGAATGGGGTTTTGGGGTTTATGATACGATGATAATTAAGGACCCCCACAACATGGTATAGGTAATTATCAAGGCTGACATATTATTCGTTTAGGCCTTTAGGCTGGGCGGATCCAGGGTTCTTTCTTTCTGAATCTTCATTCAAGGCATTGCACGTATGACACCATGATCCCCAAGCCAAAACAACATTGTAATGTAGAAGAAGGCGTTTTGGCAATGACGGGGCTGCCAGGGACATCTTTGCATCCTGGTTAGCCACCTCCAACAACAGCTTTTTCTACAGCCTTTCTGCAGCCTGAGCCGGTGAAGAAAACAGGAGCAGGGACAGATGCCCGGAAGTGCAACTTACGACTCATCGAGACACCCCGCAACATGACGCCCGAAATCCTGTGACTTCCCTCAACTACCCCCTTTCAGCAGAAAGGCGGCTGCTGGAAGCCAGGCGCCTCGGGCTCAGGGTTTAGCGGGTTTTTGGATTTGTTGTGAAGCTTGGATGCAGTGCTGGGAGTTCAAAGGACCGTTCCCACCCCAACCCCGAGCCTGAAAACCCCAACTACTTAAAGAATTATGGGACTTAGTAGGTAAGGTCATAAGTACCTTAACTGGGGTTATAAGTCTAAATACCCTAATTATAACCCTAGTTACGAAGTCCCATAATCCTTTAATTACTTACTTAATGCCTAAACTTCCTAAACCCTTTTGCATCCAGGCCTATTGCGACTGCCGGGTACCCTGCAGAAAGAGGTCAGGCATATTCTGCAGCACCATTGACCCCAAACCCGAAAAATCCTAAACCCTCTCTCTCTCTCCCAGGCATTCGAAACGTCAAGCCCGGTTGCAGGACACAGATGGTCCCACGTGACACATGATTGGAATTCGAAACCATGTCGTCCGCAGTCAAAGCCCTAAACCCTTAAACCCCTAAACCCCTAAACCCCTAAACCCTAAACCCTAAACCCTAGACCCCAAACCCGAAAATCCCCGAAAGCTGTGCCGAATCGGTGCGCTGGTTCGTCATCATGGCGAGGCGACACGTATCAACAAACGTAAGCCGGGTTATGTGACCCATAGGTATTGTTTATGCATATACATATACATATACATATATACATATATATATATATATATATCACTCTCTATCTATCTTTATATGTATAAAGATATATATATATATACATATATATATATATATATATATATATATACAGCTGAAGTTGCCTCAAGCCTGCCTCCGGGTACTCATACGCCTGCTTGTGCCTACCGAAAAGCTCATGGACCTTCCCAGGATCACGAGCTCTTTGGATTAGCAACTTCAACCCGATACTTCAGCTTGTTAAGCAGCCTGCTTGGAGGTTCATGGGTAATTATAATGTGGGGCTTAGGGTTCCTTTTAAGGCGTCTATAGGGTTTAGGGTTCTGTTAAGGGTTCTATAGGGTTTACGATTTTAGAGTAGTTATAGGTGGGGTTATAAGTCCCCTAACATGGGTTATAATTATAGTTACTCTACTTATAACCCCACTGATGACCTATTCCTCAAGACCCTACAAGCCTCAGGCTTGCAATGACAACGAGTATCAACGAGTCTTCTTACTGCAGGCATGCCCTCACCATCATACAATGAGGCATCGGCGAAGGCTGCCGCTGGAGTTTGCGGCGACCTCGTCAGTTCTGGCATCGGTTGATCTGTTCTGCATTCTCAGCAGGCTCGCGTCAGCATGACATTGTCGAGAGACCCCTTGCTCACCGATCAGGTGTTCCTGTGCCACTTCTGTGCAACTGCTCATCAGTTCACATGAATCCAACTCATGCGTTTTGTCGACCAAACGCATCTGAGTAGCTGCTGCGGCATTGGCGGCATTCCAGGGGTACCAGGCACCTGCCCCTGCACAGAATCGACAAAACTGACCGAGTTGGTGCAGGGCTCAGCACATGTCGAAACTCCGCACGTCCGGGCCATGCCACAAACAAAGCGAACAAGCAGCGATGATATGTCAGAACTTTCACTGTCACCACCGGTTGATGTCAGAACTTGCACTGTCACCACCGGTTGATGTGCACTCACCCTGATGACCTATTCTTCAAGACCCTACAAGCCTCAGGCTTGTAATGACAACGAGTCTTTTTACTGCAGGCATGCCCTCACCATCATACAATGAGGCATCGGCGAAGGCTGCCGCTGGAGTTTGCGGCGACCTCGTCAGTTCTGGCATCGGTTGATCTGTTCTGCATTCTCAGCAGGCTCGCGTCAGCATGACATTGTCGAGAGACCCCTTGCTCACCGATCAGGTGTTCCTGTGCCACTTCTGTGCAACTGCTCATCAGTTCACATGAATCCAACTCATGCGTTTTGTCGACCAATTACATCTGAGTAGCTGCTGCGGCATTGGCGGCATTCCAGGGGTACCAGGCACCTGTCCCTGCACAGAATCGACAAAATTGACCGAGTTGGTGCAGGGCTCAGCAGATGTCAAAACTCTGCACGTCCGGGCCATGCCACAAACAAAGCGCCTGCGAGCGGCGATAATATGTCAGAACTTTCATTGTCAACAACGGTTGATGTGACAACTCACACCACCCTAACAACATATTCTTCAAGACCCTACAAGCCTCAGGCTTGCAATGACAATGAGTCTATTCACTGCAGGCATGCCCTCACCATCATACAATGAGGCATCGGCGAAGGCTTGCGCTGGAGTTGGCGGCAACCTCATCAGTTCCGGCATCAGTTGATCAGGTCTGTTTTGTCAGCAGGCTCGCGTCAGCATGACCTTGTCGAGAGATCCCGTGATCACAGATCAGGTGTTCTTGCGCCACTTCTGCGCAACTGCTCATCAGTTCACATGAATCCAACCCATGCGTTTTATCGACCAATCGCATCTGAGTGGCTGCTGCAGCGGCGGCAGGTTAGGTGTACCCGGCACCTGCGCTTCACAGAAACGACAAAGTTGTCCACACACATGCAGCGACTCGGCAGATACGGCACATGCGGCTAATGGAAGAAAGCTTGGGTAAATATCGTTGTACAACCGCAATAGGAGCTACGAGGCAATCTCTCTCTCTCTCTCGCTCTCTCTCTCTCTCTCTCTCTCTCTCTCTCTCTCTCTCTCTCCCTCTCTCTGCCATTGCATCCAGACGGTCTAGCAGCGCCAGGCAACATGTGCAGCTAAACCCTTCAGGCCCCTCATGAAAACAAAAAGCAAGCCGCCCCTGAAGCAGCAGGCAATGCCGACATATGCCAGGCACGCACCTACAAGGCAATACCACAACGAATTACACCTACCTCGTCTACCAATATTCTTCCCGAGGGCTCTTCAATATAACTATACTACAACATACTCCTACTCTAACTTGTTGATTCCCCTCTGCTAAGCCCTGAAAACACACCTGATAGCCCCTTCTCTTGAAGGAACCCTATTCTAGTTATGAAGGCCCTGCCTCGACTAAACCCTCGCAGTAACCCGTATAGAACCCTACAAAAAAGGAACCCTGAGAGAAAGCCTATCCCAATGGCCCTACATCAAAGTCACAAGCACCCTAAAACCCCGAAACCGTGCAATCCTCACAAAGTCCTTCAAGGAACACCGAGCCCTAAACCCTCCACCCCCATCCCTTCACCCTAAACCCGAAAACCCTAATCCCTAAACCCATAAGCCCCCCACTTCACCAAAATTGCGCTGAGGCCGCGGCCAGAGCCGGCGTCTGAGGTGCCCTCGGAGATTCATGGGACTTGGGGGTTCTCTATACCCCCCTTAGAACCATAGTGACAAAGTATATCTTAAAATATTCCCTTAGGTTTATATGAACAAAAAATCAAGAACGAATCCTAAGGAGACGATAGTTCGACTTCGGATTCACACATTTCGCTCCAGGCTGGGATGGTTTCAGGCAATAAGTCCGCTGAGATTGCTACTGTAACACCAAGAGGGGCATCTAAGGACTCATATATTAAGGCTTTTGGGCTCAAAGCCCATACTCTATAAGGCTTTTGGGCTATTTTGATGCCCAGGGAAGGGCCAAAGCACACGTTACAACCGACACAAGCACCTCCAGTAGAAGAACCAAGCAAGTATAGGGGAGATATGAACGGTGCAGCGTCCCAAGGTGGCCACAGAGGGCACATGTGGCCTTCTGCAGCACAGCAGTCTACTGTTTCGATACTAAGTCATTGAGCTTGTCCTAGTCTCGAATTTCAAAAGTCACGTCCACATCCGTCAAACTAGAGATCCGGAGGTGCAAACAAAATCAATACTTCTCGGAGTTCTTCGGCTTGAACCTACCTGTAACTGCCCTGCCCTGTGCCTGAGGCATGCGATTTTTGCTGGTCACTTGCTGAGCAAAACTGGAGTATCGATACTTTATACATACACTGCAAACGAACGGGTCAAAGCTTCGGCCGCAGAACAGCAGCGACTAGCCCATGGTCACTTGGAAATCGAAGCGAGGGGAAGCACACTCCTTCGACGTACTCCCCGTGGCCCGTGTTGTCCTTGATCACTCGGACGGACTCGAAGGCTTCACGACTGAAGACGATGTGGTCCTTTGGGTTGACGTCACCCATCTCCAGCTTCCTTGCGCTGGGACAGGCCTCCGGGCTTTTAAGTAACCAGGGAGAGAAAAGCATAAGCTGTTCTTTCAAAAATGGTTCCTTTAAGAAAAAAGTACACAAAGTATGGTACTCCGAAGCCCAGGGCCTTGTTCAGCTGCGGCTGGAGGAAGGTCCGTGCATTGCAGGTGGTTAGGCACTCGGACATGTCCACGCCCTCCGGCCAGCAGACTTGGAAGTCACGCCCTCGGCACTCTTGGAGAAAGTCCTGCACACCGTAGAGCGAGGTGCTGCCCTTGAGGTAGGTGTTCGCATCCAGGCCAAAAAGCAGCATATCGCCCGAGAGGGCTCCTTGCAGTGCCTTAACCACTGGCGCCGTTGCCTGACCGTTTGTGTCACCGTGGAAGGATGCGACAAGAAGGCGCCGTCCCGAGCTGTGCGTCGCCCGCACGGCGATGAGATCTCCGACCTCCAGCTTGCTTCCTTCAACCGCTGCGACAACGTCATCCGTGATCTCCTTCTCGGCGCCCATGGGGAAAGCTATCCGACTTAGCAGCAACGCCGAATTCTGATCTCTTTGCCCGTCCACCTTCTCAGGAATCACGATGTGATGCGTCTTCGCAAGGCTGCTCTGCCGAAGGCTCTGCAAGTAAGCTTCAGAAGCTTCCTGCAAACAGATCACAGCGCATCCGCTGTAGCTTTGAAGTATTCTGGTGGTGATGCCACTCTTCTTGCGGAAGGTTGCATTGCAGATCGATTCCTTTATCCGTAGCCAGTGGCCATCTGGAGACAACACCTGCATCATGTGGACCAGGATCGCATCGAAGATTGCTAAGCATAGGCATTGAAGTGGGACGGAGATGGCCTCCTCCTCTTCGGTGATCGCGGGGTATTTGGCCTTCTTAATGGTGCTGAGCATCTCGCAAGGTCGTATCCTCTTCGTGCCCCCGTTGTTGCCGGTGCGCATCCTTAGTTGCCCAGTTCATAAGCCCCAAAAACTATGCACTTTCAGTTTTACAGTGGGAAATATTATCCCAAAAAGTGTAAAGTGTACCCACTCAGCTACCAAGAGGTCATAAGTACCTTAATTGTGGTTATAAGTAGAGTTACCCTATTTATGACCCGAGTTACTAAGTCCCATGATCCTTTAAGTAGACCCTATAATAGAACCCCTGTAGATCCCTTTATAAAGGAGCCCTTTAAGGAACCCTAGTTACTAAGTCCCATGATCCTTTAAGTTAAGCATCTCTAGGGGCCCCTTGAACATGAAGTCCACCCATTGGGGCCACCACAAAGCCACAGAACTGAGCTTGTTCGCGCTGTGGTTGATCACCGTCGGTCTGAAGACCGGGCCTTCGGTTTAGGGTTTAGGGTTTCATAGAACAGGGTCCCCTGTAAAGGGGTCCTTTAGAGGGTTCTATAAGGGATCTAAAGTAGGGTTCTATATGGTAGCTGCCTCAATAATTAGTAGGGTTTGGGGGCCTCCTGACGCGATGTTGATGGTGTTGGTGAACCGGTCTGGCATGGAGCACAATCGCTTTGCACCAAGCTCTTTCTCCTTGAGTACCCCGGAGATGATCTTCCTCTTTGAGAAGTCGGACTCCCAGACTGCAGTTACCTTGTCAAGACCTTGCCAGCCTTCAGCCTTCATAAGACCTCGGATGCCCAGTAGCCTAGGAAGAAAAAGGGGCTCCCTTTTTGGTATACTGAATACTGGGGAACTTTATACTCATAAGGAACCTTTTTTTGCTTCCAGGCCTAAACCCCCAAACCCTTAAACCCCAAACCCCTAAAGACCCCAACCCTACATCTTACAAAAAGTGAAAAGGGCCCACTTTTGGATGCCTAGAGACCCAGCAGCTCCTGAAACAGCGATGAAGGGAAGACCTCGGCCACTGGGACATCCCGGGCACCGGGTGCATCGATGAAGCTCTCCACCTGGTCTTACGGAATAGGGCTTGGTGGTATATTATACTATAATTGCAATAAGGAACCCCCCAAAATACCATGGGTAAATTTAGGCCCCTATAACACCTGGTCCATCAGTTCCTTGTAGGATTCGTCCGAATGGCTGACCCAATACTCGAACGGATTGTTGTTGATGGCGGCGAGATTCCACGTGGCTACACTCACTTCACCCTCCTCACCGAGGCTCGGTCGAAACTGCCGCCTGAGTTGAATGATCATCCGTGGCGTGAAGATGCCGGACATCTCCTGATACCTAAGTTCACGGTTGGGATAAGATTAAACATGCACATGTTTATTCCTTATAGGGTTTAAGTACTCATAAAAAACAAAATGATACCCAACTATGAACAAAGATACTCTGTCTGTACCCCGATGATTTCTGCCAAGCCGTCGGCCTCCATGCGTTGCGCAACGGCGATCGCCACAGAAATGGCATCTCCCAGGCCTGAAACCTTGAGCTCCTCCACTGCCTCTCGAGCTGGTCGGGCCATGACGCCGTCGGAAGCCTCGCGGGCGTCGGCACCCTGGAGGAACACCTCTCTTCTGCAATAACCGGGCCCAAAAAAAGCTTAAACTTTCAAGATAGAGCAAATGAATAAGGATAATAAGGCCAGAAAGTTTAACATTCCCCCAATGGCTATCCAGGGCACAGAGGCCGCCCGGATGAAGAAGCCAACACTCTTCTTGAGGCTTACCTTCATCTCCATCTGCTTCTCGGAATCCGCCATGGCTAAGACCACGGCTTGGCAAACAGATTTCGTGGAGTTTCTCAAGAAAGAGTCTCGTTGCTAGTGCTATTCTTGTTGTTCGTTCTACGGCTGCGGCTTTTGTTGCTAGCGTTGCTGTCATCATGGACGACTGCTTAGGGCCTTGACCACGGATCCGGTGGTTCTATTCGGGGTCTTGGGTTTAGGATTTCAGGGTTCCTATAAGGGCTTCTATAAGGGTCTAGATAAGGGTTCGGGTAGACTAGTGCGTCGGGGAGGCCGCATGTCCACTAAACCCTAAAGACTCAAACCTTCAAACCCTAAACCCTCAAACCCCAACCCCTCAAACCCTGAACCAGTGCGTCGGAGCGGCTGCATGTTTCCCTGCCCTGACCACGTTCCGATCGGCGGTAGGCCCGGAGTGCCTGGCACCTGCATAGACTGGGTTCTTGCTAATGAATTTTATGCTAAGTTACCATAATTCTTTAAGGGATCCTTAAGGGTTCACTTTAAGGTTCCTATAAGGGTTCTAGAATTGTTGGGGGGTTTTGAGTTACCATAATACGGTTCTATAGTAAATGTTATGGTGCTTTATATTGGAAATTTAAACTGAACTGCTTAACAATAGCCCAGCAGAGCCGAAGTTGCTGGATCTGCGAGGCCCTCACCTCTAAACCCCAAGCTAGTAGTAGTAGTAGTAGTAGTAGTAGTAGTAGTAGTAGTAGTAGTAGTAGTAGTAGTAGTAGTAGTAGTAGTAGTAGTAGTAGTAGTAGTAATAGTAGTACCAGTAGTAGCAGTAGTAGCAGCAGCAGGAGTAGTAGTAGTAGCAGCAGCAGGAGTAGTAGTAGTAGTAGTAGTAGTAGTAGCAGTAGCAGTAGCAGTAGCAGTAGTAGTAGTAGTAGTAGTAGTAGTAGTAGTAGTACCTGTAGTAGCAGTAGTAGCAGCAGCAGAAGGAGTAGTAGTAGTAGTAGAAGTAGTAGTAGTAGCAGGAGTAGTAGTAGTAGTAGTAGTCGTAGCAGCAGCAGCAGGAGTAGTAGTAGTAGTAGTAGTAGTAGTAGTAGTAATAGTAGTAGCAGGAGTAGTAGTCGTAGTAGTAGTAGTAGTAGTAGTAGTAGTAGTAGTTGCAGTAGTAGCAGTAGTAGTAGTAGTAGACGTAGTACGTCGTAGACGTAGTACGTAGTAGTAGTAGCAGTAGTAGGTAGTAGGTAGTAGGTAGTAGGTAGCAGGTAGTAGGTAGTACGTACTAGCAGCAGCAGAAGTAGTAGCAGTAGTAGTAGAAGTAGACGTAGCAGTAGTAGAAGTAGCAGTAGTAGTAGTAGAAGAATAAGTAGAAGCAGTCGTAGTCGTAGTAGTAGTAGTAGCAGTAGGAGTAGCGGTAGCAGTAGCAGTAGCAGCAGCAGCAGCAGCAGCAGTAGCAGTAGCAGTAGTAGTAGTAGTAGCAGCAGTAGTAATTAGTAGTACTAGTAGCAAATAGTTATACGAGTAGTAGGAGTAGCAGTAGTAATAGTAGTAGTAGTAGTAGCAGTAGTAGTAGTAGTAGTAGTAGTACCAGTAGTAGCAGTAGTAGCAGCAGCGACAGCAGAAGTAGTAGTAGTAGTAGTAGTAGTAGTAGTAGTAGTAATAGTAGTAGTAGTAGTAGTAGTAGTAGTAGTAGTAGCAGTAGTAGTAGTAGTAGCAGTAGTAGTAGTAGTAGTAGTAGGCGGCCCCCCCCCCCCCCCTACCAACCACCCCCTTTTACATGCGTTGCTTGGGGTGGGGGGGGGGGGGGCGGATAACGTACAGGCAGCCTCGAACAGTTGCCACCCAATATCGACAGGAACTGCTCCTACTAGCCCAGATGCTCCAGGATGCTTTGTATGCTATGCTCATGATGCGATTGCATGCGTGGGGGGGTGTGGGGCGGGGGGGGGGGGCTGATAACGTACAGGCAGCCTCGAACAGTTGCCAGCGAATATCCACAGGAACTGCTCCTAGTAGCTCAAGCCTCCACGCCAACCATTGACTGCTAGCCCCACCAAACCTTGCAGGGACACGCGCCAAGCAATGACTGCCAGCTCCAAAAAAACCTGCGAGACACGTGCAGTCGCAATCTGCATGCCTCTCTGTTCTGTTCAAGTCGTGATGATGTTCGCTGTTGATGATGATGATGACGAAGATTTAACATACCAGATGAACTACTTTAAAGACCGAGTAAAACAAGCCTTCCCCCACCCAATTTCGAGTTTTCGCTGAAAGCCCTCGCAAAGGCAAACAGACAACGTAGAAAAGTCCAGAGGTAGGCTTGGCAACTTTATAAGATGGCGGACATCCCGAAAGTACTGTAAATACCAAGTAAAATGGCTCTTGCGGAGATGTTGTTCGAGGTGTCCGCGTAACAATTCGAGGTGTCCGCGTAACAATCTCGACTTCATTCTTCCCGCACACCCACGCACCCCCACAACAAAAAAATCCACAATCGGATCGGATGCTGGAGTTTGAAAACTCGCAGGTGAAATTTCTAGCTTCATAAGATGTTCCTACATGACGAAAGTGCTGTAAATACCGAGTAAAACGGATGTGGGTTACAAGAGTATGTAAAAGAGGCGGTTGGTAGGGGCGGGGGGGGGGGTGGCTAGTAGTAGTAGTAGACGTAGTAGGTAGTAGGTAGTAGGTAGTAGGTAGTACGTAGCACGTAGTACGTAGTACGTAGTAGCAACAGCAGTAGTAGTAGCAGTAGTAGTAGAAGTAGAAGTAGCAGCAGTAGAAGTAGCAGTAGTAGTAGTAGAAGTAGTCGTAGTCGTAGTCGTAGTAGTAGTAGTAGTAGCAGTAGTAGTAGCAGTAGCAGTAGCAGTAGCAGCAGCAGCAGCAGCAGTAGCAGTAGCAGTAGTAGTAGTAGCAGCAGTAGTAATTAGTAGTAGTAGTAGTAGCAGCAGTAGTAATTAGTAGTACTAGTAGTAAATAGTTATACGAGTAGTAGGAGTAGTAGTAGTAGTAGTAGTAGTAGTAGTAGTAGTAGTAGTACCAGTAGTAGCAGTAGTAGCAGCAGCGAAAGCAGAAGTAGTAGTAGTAGTAGTAGTAGTAGCAGTAGCAGTAGTAGTAGTCGTCGTAGTAGTAGTCGTAGTAGTAGTAGTAGTAGTAGTAGCAGCAGTAGTAGTAGTAGTAGTAGTGGTAGTAGTAGTGGTAGTATTAGTAGTAGAAGCGATAATGGTGATAATGGCAGTAGTAGTAATCCCTACCTACCTGCTGAAACGCGAGAGCACAAGCAGTCGGCTGTACATGTTACGCCTGCTCGTCGAATCAAGTCGACGTGTGGTTTTTAGGGGAACGGGAACTGCATGAGACAGCTCCAGGCCACGAGAACTTGACTCATGTTCAATCCTCTATGCCGTTCACAAACAGCCATTGGCAACACCCCGAAACAGCTCTGATAGAAAGACCCCTTATAGCACTGTACAAAAGCCTCGTAAAACTCGATGTAGACCTGACAGAACTCCTACACAAACCCTCGAAATCTTGGGGCTTAAGGTTTCAGGCTTTTGGCCCTTCAAGTTCAACTCTGCCTCGGCAACTCGGCCAAAGCAATGGGTTTCCACAATTCCCAAAGCTCCCTAATGCCTAAACCCTAGGCCCAAACCCTACTGCTGGGGCCTTAATAACTACAATAGTGTTTTGGGGCCCACTATACTATATTTATAAGAAGGAACCTCCGAAATAGTATTGGAAACTATTACGGCCCCTGCACCCCTTACAGTAACCCTTATAGATCCCTTATTTGTACCCTTAAAAGAACCCTTGGGTAATGTTTGAGGCCCCTTTTTTTCAGGGCTTCCCCAGTTGCAACTCGGCAGAACCAGGCGTGGACTTCGAAAAACTGCTCCAGCAACCGGAGTGTAAGGTTTAGGGTTTAGGGTCTAAGGTTTAGAGTTCAGGGTTTAGGGTCTAAGGTTTAGGGTCTCGGGTTTAGGGTTTTGGGGTTCCTCTTAGGGGGTTTGGCACATTTAAGCGTAGCCCAGAAAGCGCGAGGCCCCTGAAGTAAGGAAATACCATAAGCCATAATCCTAAGCTCCCTCTAACTCAACGTCAAGACTTAAAGTTTATTCCGAGCTGTATTCCTTTTTTCAGGGGTAACCGGGCTCCCTGAGAAATTCTGCAGGACCATTCGGTTGACCGAACTTCGGGCACTCGGAGCCACCAAGGCGACAATCCATGCAGCATCGCAGGCCGGCAATACTTGGAGGATCATGGGACTTAGTAAGTAAGGTTATAACTACCTCAATTGGGGTTATAAGTATAGTTACCCCAATTATATCCCCAGTTACTAAGTCCCATGATCCTCTTGTAGGGCCCCCAAAAGCACACAAGCAAAACTTAAAATGGGGATAACACACACACATAAGCCCCATAATCAAGCCCAATAAGGTAGGGATATATCCATAAAATGCTTATACATGCTTATGTCCTTTTGGAGTCCCTAAGCCAACTGCTTAAGTTGAGGGCGGGTGTCATGCTGCTGCCCATACAACATTGCACCGAAGTAGATCATTGCTGCATAAAGAGCAAAGGGGTTCACCTGCTAGAAATTAAAGCTTACTTAGAGGTTCCTGGGTAGCTTGAGGGCTTTCAGAGTTCGCGGTTTAAAGCGCTATGGGCTCTATCTTGAAGTAAGCAAGCTCCGCACGACTGGTTGCATGGCCTTTCTGACCCTGGCATGTTCAGGAAACCTTGCAGCATGTCATGTTTCAGACTTGAGCTTATCTACGTGGAACAAAGGTTAAAGGTTGAACCCAAAACCCTAAACCCCTGCACCATAAGCCCTAGCTAGCGACGGAGCCGATGCACCTCAGTCTGGTGCGGCTCTGGTGCGGCATCGAATTTGCCGCTGCCCTGGTCGCAGCCTCTGTCGGGCTCTGCCGATGCGAAACCCCACACCCCCCAAAACCCAATGCACAGCAAGGCGGAACCCGACTTGGAGGATCATGGGACTCAGTAAGTAAGGTTATATGTACCTCAATTGGGGTTATAGGTATAGTTACCCTAACTATAACCCTAGTTACTAGCGCCGAGGTATCAATCCGAAATTCAAGGAAAAGATTGGGGGGGCAGTTCGACAGCGGAAGGACGCGGGGGAGAGCTGGAGGCTGAGAAAGCTCTGCGACCCCCTAAACCCTACTTAAAGGATCATGGGACTTAGTAACTAGGGTTATACTTTAAAGGGCTCCTTTAAAGGGGATCTATAGGGGTGCTATTATAAGAGGGGTTTTAGGGTCCACTTAGAGGATCATGGGACTTAGTACCTAGGGTTATAATTAGGGTAACTAGACTTATAACCCCAAGTAGGGCGCTTATAACCTTACTTACTAAGTCCCATGATCCTCCAAGTAGTGTGGGGGGTCTTGATGATTAGAATTGGGCGTTGGGCTCCTTTCAATGCATAATAAGGAAGCCTAAGGAATAATGTTGGCAATTATCTAGGCTTCTATAGTAAACTGAGTCTCCTTGTGGTCCCTTCTGGCTGGCCCAAAGTTTAGGGTCCATGTCTTCTCGATGCAGAGAAAATGTTGACTTTGCTGTGTTCAGGTTGATGCAGGCTTGGCTCCATTTTAGCATGCCGCAGGGAACCAGCATGCTGCTTTCCGGACGAAAACGGACCGTAAACCCTAAACTTACACACTTCGATGGGACCCAAGCCCTGGTAGGACTTAGGGTTTTTTAGCTCCCGTCCGGCTGGTCTTGAGGACGCACTTGGCGTGCAACACGCAAGGAGCTTAGCAGCACTAGGTGACACACAGTCTTAGGGATAAGGGTTTGACACCTTTTTTTTTAGGAGCAGAGGGGATCGTTCTTGGGCCCCGGGCTGATATGCAACTCTGCCAGCACCCACGCGCCATTGACGAACTCTCTCCAAACTCGCTCCTCTGCCGTGCTGTAGGCCAGGCCTCCGACTCTGTAAGGGCCTTACGAACCAGAATAGGGTTTTGGGGGATATCAAACCATAATTATAACGCTCCGAAGCTTCGGAAGGTATAATCAGGAACCCTCAAAAGCCTGTTCTAATTATCAAGACCCCTACATTAGGTCGACTTCTACACGGGAAACCCAGGCTCGGATCCTTAAGGGAAGCAGGGTTTAGAGCCTGCTCTCTCACACTCGAACTCGTCAGACTTATCAAGGATTTTTCCCTCCTACCTCGCAAGGACATATAGCATATCAGGGATTAGGGTTTAAGGTTTCGGGTTCAGCTGCAACAGTTTGAGACATCGTTCGTGCATCTGATCAATTCGGCCCTTGCTGGGACAGGAAATTCGCGTGTTCATGATGTTTCTGTACTGATGGCTTCGGAGCGCGCGTTGGCATGGCTTTGTGGATGTGACGCTTTCGCGTCTCAGGCTTGACTGCAGGTTTGGGGTTGCACCGAACACCTCGAGCCGAAAGCCACCTTGCGCCAACACCCAAAAACAAAACCTCAACATTGAATCTGTGCAGCCGCTACATCTCACGACATCTTTTGACTCTCTACCCCCTACTAAACCACATAGAAGCAAACCGCCTGGAAGATTGTCCGGTGAGACAAAGCCCAGTTCTGCAAAAGACTGCTAACCATCCACCCTACCGCTGCTACTCATACTACAACGACGACGACGACTACTGCTTACTACGACTACGACGACGAGGACGATTACTACGTACACTTACTACAACTACAACTACTACTACTACTACTACGACGACGACTAGTACTACGACTCCTACTCCTACTACTCCTACTACTACTACTACTGCTGCTGCTCCTGCTCCTGCTCCCGCTCCCTTTCCTGCTCCGGCTTTTGCGCTCCTGCTCCGTGTTCCTCTTTTGGGGTTCAGGGCCGATATCTGTCAGAATTCTCGGCTTTGTGATTTAAAGCTTCTTGGGCCAAAATTGGTCGGGCTCACAAGTTATTAGGCATCTGGCCAGGATTCTAAACCCTCATCCACGACGAGGTTTTGAGTGGTCAGCACTAACGCCTCCTGTCGGGTCGGAATATTGTAAACATACCTTCCCCCAAACCCCATTCTAGTTATGAAGGTCGTGTAACATAGGGGCCTTAAGAATTAGAATAGTTTTTGGGACCCCACTAAACTATAACTATAATAAGGACCCCCCCCCAAAAAAAAAGTAATAGGTAAAGATTTAAGGTTCCTATATTACACCCTCCCCTGTAGGCCTCGTCCTTCTCCATCCTTGGCTTTCGCGCGATGGCTTGGGGCTTACTTGGAGGTTCGGGGGACTTAGTAAGTAGGTAGTAAGTAGACTTATAAGTGCCCTAAAAGGGACCCTAATTGGGGTTATGGTACTTTTAAGTCCCTAAAAATAACCAGTTACTAAGTCCCCCGACCCTCGAAGTGCCGGCCTCTTCTGGTTTAGGGGTTTAAGGTTCCTTTAGAGCGTTCCTTTTTGAAGGGATCTATGAGGATTACTATAAGGGTTACTATAAGGGTGTTTGGGGTTTAGGGGTTGTGCTTTAGGGTTTAGGGCTTAAGCTTTACGGGCAGTGGGTAAAGTTTTTGTTTATACCTGCTTAGCCGGCGAGGCCACACAGCAGAGACCACACTGATTTCGGGCGTGTGCGGGTTCGAAAGGAAAAGCCCGTTCCACATGACGAAACAACGCACAACCACAGTCACCAAACCGGCACAAGTTGTGGGATAGCGCATCCCCGAACTCGCAAACAAGTTCCAAGCGAGTGAAGTTTAGGAAACAGGATTTTGGGCTCGGGGATCTGCGTTAAGGGTCGGCGGGTTTTGACTCAGACCTGTAGGATTTGAAGCTTCGGGGCGATTCTGGGGTTTTACAGTTTCAGGTGGGGCTTACTTGGAGGATCATGGGAGTTAGTAAGTAAGGTTATAAGTACCTTTATTAGGGTTAGAAGTATAGTTCCCCTAATTATAACCCTAGTTACTAAGTCCCATGATCCTTTAAGTAGAGTTTCCAGGCTTCGACTTTCACACTCGCACCAGCAGGCAATGCTCGCAAGGCTTGAGGCGACGTTGAGACATATGCTTGCAGGTTTCCTTCCACTCTCGGGTATGTGGAGTTTTTGCCAGGTCAACCCCGGGACTTTTAAGGACCAGGGAGAAAAAGGTGTAAACTTGTATTGGATAATGAAATGCGGATCTGCTCAAAAAGCTGTTCGACTCTGGCACTCAAGAACCCTTAAAGAAACCTTATAGGACCGTTTAGAAAACATATACTACACCTATACCCAGACCCTGCTGCCGTGGCTCTTTCGCTTGTTTGAACATGCTCTGTTCCGGATCGTAGTTCCCCACCTTTGCGCAGCAGGCTCAAACAAAGAGTCCAGCAACCTTCTTTAAGGAGTACTCCTTCAATTATACCGGGCTTAATACCCTCAATTACGGAATGTAAGGGGGCTTAACATAATGCAAGGGTGTGTTCCATAGTTAAGGGGTGAAAAACCCTTGCTTGGAGGTTCATGGGTAGTTATAATTAGAGTTATGAGTAGGGTAACTATACTTACAACCCATATTATTAGGGGACTTATAGCCCCACTTATAACACCCATGAACCTCCAAGTAAACCCTAAACCCGAAGCCAGAAACCCTTGCACCCTTAAAACCCTAAACCCTTAAAGGACGGGGGCCCTTGAATGAACGCTTTCCTAGGGCTCGCGTGCTGATTCAAGGGGTCTTCAGCTCTCTGGAGAGCCGTACTTAAAGGGTCATGGGACTTAGTAACTCGCGTCATGCTGTAAAGGGCTCCTTTATAAAGAGATCTACAGGGGCTCTTGTATAGGAGGGGATTTATAGGGTCTACCTAAAGGATCATGGGACTTTGTACCTCGGGTTATAATTAGGGCAACTATATTTAGAACCCCAAAAAGGGTACTGATAACCGTTCTTACTAAGTCCCATGATACTCACAGCAAAGGTTCTAAAAGGGTCTCTATAAGTGTTCCTCTCAGGGCTTCTATTGGGGCTTCCTATAAGGGTCTCTACATGGGAATAAAGAAGTGGGTCGTTCTTTATATTAGGCCCTTACAAGGTTCTGTTAAGGATCCGTAAAGGCTCTGTAAAGATTCTCTGAAAGCTCTATAAGGGCTGTCCTTGGAGAAAAATGGGTCGTCATAAGTGGGTTAATTATTGAATTTGGTTCCTTTAACGTTTCGTAAAGGGTTAAGCGTATTAAAGGACTGGGGTTTAGGCTAGTTATAATGTCTGGCTAGAAGTACCCTAGTGTGGGGTATTTTTATGGTCACCCTGCGTAGTCCCACTTATAACTGCCCATGAACTTCCCAGTATGGGCTCTGAATGATTGGCAGTGCTATTCTCTGTCGCACCCCTTATGAAACGCTAGAGCGACATAACCCCAAACCCGATTCTGATGATTCAGGCCACTCTATTGCGGCAACATGTGCCAAGCATCATGGACCTGGATTTAATTCACTCACAGCACCAGTGCATGTGGTATAAGAGCTGCACCTCATACAGTGGGCACAGCTGCCACCTCAGCAGGCATCTAACAGGTTAGGGTTTGAAGTGAGGTTTGGAAACATGTTTTTTTTTTTTTTCGTTGGGGCCCCGAAACTAAGAACGCACAGGATGGGACCCATGGAGAACCATTTTGTCGAGCCCGAAACAAGGTCTAGAGTGCACTCATAAGGGAGCTTCCGAAAATTAGGGCTACCTTATTTTGGGGTCTTTTTATAAGGATCCTGCTTTTTATGGCGCTATATTAGGGTCCCCCATTTTCGGAAACCCAATATACATTCATGAACCCAAAACTGTAGACACCGAAACGACGAAGCTTCCTGATTGTGACAACCACGCGGTGCGACTGATTCAAACGCAGCACACCCCGAAGCAGCAGCGACATAGGCCATGCTGAAGTACTACCTCGAGGGGACTGAATGTAGCTCCGAGGCATCTATGAATAGAGATGCTCAGTGACTCAGTGGCCAGAAACCCTCGAATCCAACCCTCAGAGGATTGGATTGGATTGCGTGGTAATGTAGGAACCTGATTAAGAAACCTAGGGCCTTTATTCGGTTTCCTTACATGAACCCTATTATTTTTGGGTCATAGGCCCAAAGTCTCTTAATCAGGATTTTCTACATTAGTGGAGAACCATAAACCCCGATCCCTACCTCTGCTCTTGCTCGTAGAAGAACATGAAGACCTCCTGCGTCATGTCCTGCAGCCAAGGTTCACGGCTTCTCAGTTGGGCCTTAGGGCTTTTAGGGTTTGGGCTTTGGGGCCTAAAACACGGCGTAACATCCTGAACGCGAACGCGCGAAACCCTAAACTCAAAAGCCCTAACCCCACAATACACGGAAGGGCCCTTAGTTAGCAAGGTCCTCGCGACCCTCGGCGGTGGACAGCTCTTAGGATGGCCAGCTATCGGGTTTAGGGTTTAGGGGTTTAGGGTTTAGGAGTTCAGGGGTTCAGGGTTTAGCCCCTTTCGTGGGTTTTTTGGGAAGTGTTGGGAACAAGGGATCCGCATAAAAAGGCGGAGAGAAACAAGTCCCACGGTTTTGACACTCACCCTCGGGACGCTTCTCGATTTGTACTGTACATCCCAGGGCTTAGGGTTTGGGATTTAGGGTTTAGGGTTTGGCATTCAGGGTTTTTAGGGTTTGGGGTTCTGGGCTTAGGGATGCTCAGGGTCTGTTTTGCCATGTCCTACTAGCAAGTGCGTGTGAGAATCAAGAGTGCGACCTGTCAAACCGCCTTGGACAACTCAATCAACCTGCACCCCAACCAGGTAAGTTCGGACGCCACTTAAAGGATCATGGGACTTAGTAACTAGGGTTTATGATTAGAGTAACTATACTTATAACCCCACAATCAGGTCATTTTTGACTTACCTACTAAGTCCCATGATCCTCCAAGCACCCTTCGGTTCAGGATGTTGTCGTTGAGGTGTCGGGCTTAAGCCTGTTGTGCTTCAAGCGGAATCAAGCCTGAACCCAAGCAGAAAGGTTTGCGGCGGACGGAAGCTAGGTCTGGAGGATAACTGGTGAAGGTCTCTGGCTAAAGACTTTGGTGTCATGGGTGGGGCTTGGCGAAAAAAGGAGTAATTTGGCAGCTTCAGCAAAACAAAGAAACATCTTAAACCTTTCACGGCCAGTTGCCTTCCACTGAAAGTCAGAAGCCCAAGAAGGGTTACAAGTTAAGGTTTCGACGCTCACACTCGCACAAGGCAGGCAGGCTCCAAGTTAGGGTTTAGGGTTTAGGTTTCAGGGTCTAGGCAACTATATATCTCACGACTACTCAAGGACGAAGGGACTCAACAACTAGGGCGTTAGTTGATTTAGGTCACTACATGTGTTGCTGCCCCGGCATGCACCTACTAACAACCCCAATCCAAGCACGTTGCAACCCTCTATTAAACCCCTAAACCCTAAACCTTAACCCCTAAACCACGGTGCGCAGATCCTCCCAGTAAGCCCACGAATCACCCTAGGGTTTAGGGCTTACTTGGAGGAACATGGGACTTAGTAAGTAAGGTCATAAGTACCTTAATTGGGATTATAAGTATATTTACTCTAATTATCACCCTAGTTACTAACTCCCATGATCCTTTAAGTAGGATTCCCGAGGCCCGGGCGTTGCACATCTTCCAATACGTCTGCCGATGGCCCACGTACTTGCCCTCACAGGAAATCGCACTTGTCCAAAATCCTAAGGGAGCTAAAGGTGACCCCTGGGATTATATACACATAGGGGACCCTAATATAGCACCCTAAATAGTAGGATCCTTGTTATAAGGACCCCAAAAGAAGGTACCCCTTATTTTCGGAAACTCCTTTCAAGGTTGCCTACTCTGCTACTCGGAGATCCAAAGTTTACCACTGCGAGGTACAGACGATTCTTGCGGTTTCGGGTCTTCGGGTCTTAGGGATATAGGAGTTTGGGCTTTTTGGATTCACAGTTTAGGGTATGGGGTTTAGGGTTTCGGGTCTTCGGGCTAGGAGTTTTGGGCGTTTGGGAAGCAGAGCTTTGTTTATGGGGTTTCGGGTTTAATAAAGGTTTCGGGTCTTATATCCTAGGGGGAAGCCTGTCCTTGACGACTTGGGCCAGGGAGGGACATGGGTCAGACCCTAAACCCTAAACCCTAAAACCCTTTTTGCCACTGGACTCAAGTCGCCTCGGTCAAGACAACCCTAAAACCCTAAACTCTGAACCCTAAAACCCTAAGCCCTAAGCTCTGAACCCTAAACCCCTAAACCCCAAACTAAACCCCTAAACCCTAAACCCTTTTGCATCCAGGCCTCTTGAAGAAACCCTAAACCCTAAAAACCCTAAACCCTAAACCTCAGGGCTGTGAGATCCGGCGAGAAGCGGAAGCTTCAACCCTCTTTTCTCACAAGGGAGGACCGGGCCCCGGGGATCCTAAGCCAAAGCCTTTTTCATGTTTTTTTTTGGGGGGGAGGGGGGGGGGGTTTAGGGTTTTAGGGTTTTAGGGTTTTAGGGTTTAGGGTTTAGGGTTTTAGGGTTTAGGGTTTACCAACACCTTTTTCTTTTCTTTTGCAACTGGCCGGCTGCAAAACCCTAAAACCCTAGTATATTGGGCCCCCAAAACCCTATTCTTATCTAGTAAGGCCCCTAGAGTAGGGCTTTGAACACCCTGATTAGCGCCACTCGTTTCGGTTGGCTCTGTCCTGCCAGCGTGCCGGCGGAGCTTTACGTCCCACGAAAGTTTGCGAAAATTGACTGCCGCTGCGGCAGCGGAGCAAAACATAGCAAAAAAATCAACGCCACTACAACTGACCATGACACCGTATAGAGGGTATTGAAACATCGAAAAGCCGTCAAAAGTTGATCGTCTGAGCCCCCTTGCTATCAGTCCTGCATCCGCGGGCTAGTGCCGGATGACTTGCTTAATGGCCGACAAGATGCACTCTTGAGTTGATAGGTGCCGTTGAGAATGGGCGTCTGGAAGCCATCGATATAATACCTGTGATGGATGAGGCTTTCGGGCGATGGCTTCTCGCATACCAAGCCCAACACAACACGGTGACACGCGTCTAAATCTCAAGCCCTGAAAATCACAAGGTCTGAAACACTCCAGGGCCAACATCCTAACGTCTAGACTGGCTACTCCAAAGGCTTGAAAAGCGCCCCACAACTTCGCCACTAATTACATCTCTTACAAACTCCTAGAAACATCCTCGTGCACACCCTTACGAACCCTCAGATGTCCCATGGATCCCTTTGCAACCCCCTATCGGAACCCGACACCTCCGGAACTGCACATACAGGCATTGATAATTGGAACAAGGATTGCAATATATTCAGAGAGCCCACTACCCCTTAATACCTTAAACTGTAGGGGGTGTCATTTCTTAGTTGCTGAGTTCATAAGCCCCCAAAAGTGTACACTTTTAGTTTGATAGTGGCTAGTCTTATCCAAGGAAGCCTAAAGTGTATCCACGCACAGCTACTAAGACTTTAATATTAAAGATATCTTCATTAATTAAGGGTATTGGGCTCTTTGGGTACGGGTCTTGACAACTAGAAGAGGTTCCTATGACAGGATTCGTTACGGGCCACAATGAGGTTTTAGTATAGGGGCCTTCAGAAATAGAATAGCGTTTTGGGTCATATTTCTGTATAAGTATAACACGGCACATTCCGACCCCGCGGAAGCCTAGACCCTACTTGAAGGTTCATGGGTAGCTATAGGTGGGGTTATAAGTAAGGTAGCCATTATTATAGCCCATGTTAGGGGACTTATAGCCCCACTTATATCTACCCTAAAACCTTAAACCCGACAGAACCCTTCAAGGAGCCCTAAACCCCACTTATATCTACCCATGAACCTGCAAGCAAACCCTAAACCTGGGGCCGGGTTGGAACTCCGATCGGTGGAGTGGGCCAAGGTTTCCCAGCAAACGCAAACCCTAAACCTCTACTTGGAGCTCCTTCAAGGGCTCTATAGGTTTTAGGGTTCTTTTAAGGGTTCTACAGGGTTTAGGGTTTTAGGGTAGTTATAAGTGGGGTTATAAGTCCCTGAATATGGTACACCATCCTACACCCAAGTACTAAAGCCTAGAGCCCTAACCCTATAACCTAAACCCCCAAACCCCTAAAGCCCCAAACGCCCAACCTCTAAGCCTTTGAAGAGTTCAGGTTGAGTCTACGGTAGCGCCTTATCCGGGTTTAGGGTGTAGGCTTTGGGGTTTGTGGTCTTGGTTCCGGGATCGAAAGCTGCATTTCCCTCTGTATTGCTTTATGTGTTTCTTTCTGCATTTAAAATGTATTTAACAATGTATTTCCTGCTGTTCTTCCTTTATATGTTTATGCCTATGTTTACTCGTGTATCTATCCATGTCTCCGCGAGTTTGTTTATTTCCTTACTCTCTGGCTATCTATCTATTGATCTCTTCATCTATCTAGTTAAACTGTTCCTTCATGTGTTTACTCCACAAGGTATCCTGCCCGTTTCGGTGAATTTCAGCCGTGGTGGGGATAACAGGTTTATCTTCCCCAAGAAACTCGGAAACGACTGGTGTGTGTGGAGGGATGGCAACCTGGATCGCCAAAATGTTCAGGACACATGCTGTGGGAGTTCTATGTCTAGGCCCTGCGGCACCAGTGAACACCTTACCCCTGTGAATGGGATCTGCCTCCTCACGCTCTCATTCTTGCAACAAGCAAGTGCCACTTCAAGCGCTAAGCTCCCAGTATCAAAGCTCCAGTCCTATCTAAGAGGGCCCGCACTGCCGGTGGCAAAAATCTCCGAGGTGTCGTGTTCTGTTGAGGCCATCAGTGCGGCAAAGGGCTCTGTTATAGCATAGCGGCAGAACTGTGCAGGAAAGTCGTGTATTTTGGTGGTCTTCGAAAGCCGTACTGACTGGGATACCCTGCCTGACGCAGGACACTTCCTGAGAAGTTGGCGCCGGGGCCGGCTTGGTCAGGAAGGTCTCCTTGGCCGAATAGAGATAGATAGAGCGGCATACAAATAGGTATACATACATGCATACGAACATAACATTACATACATACATACATTTCACAATAAAAAAAAATCACCATCATCGTAACCAACCTCATCACAACAATGATGGCATATGATAATGAGAATGTTGCTGAAAATGACAATCGGCACCAGATTAATATGGTAGCTTCCTTCCGGCTATAGGGTACTCTAATATAGTACCCTAAGTACTAGGGTCCTTATTATAAAGACCCCAAAATAAGGTGCCCCTAATTTTCGGAAATTCCCAAACCCTAAACTCTTTGTAGAACCCCTATAGATCCCTTTATGGAACCCTTAAAGGATCCCTTTAAAGGAGCCCCTACTGCTCGGAAACTCCCATATAATGACATCATGGAAGAAGCTCGGAGCTCCTGAGGTGTAGGTCAGGGGGATTGGGTTTAGGGTTTAGGGTTTAGGGTTGAGGGCCTGCTGATCGCGAAACAAGCCGGCTCGCTGCGAAACTTCTTCTAAGGGCTCCTTCCAGAAAAGATCCTGGATTCTACCTACCTTCATCCCACTTTTTGAAGCCTCCCACTTTTCGAGACAAGAGGGGGAGAGTTGCGCGGCCCGAGCACTTTACTATAGGGGCCTTACTAATTGGAACAAGGTCTTGGGGCCCACTATACTCTAGTCTAAAAAAATAAGGAACCCACCAAAATAGTATAGGTAATTATTTAGGCCCCTATATGGGGGTTTCCGAAATAGGGGACCCTAATATAATCGTAGGATCCTTGCTATAAAGACACCAAAATAAGGTACACCCTCTTTTGGGAAACGCCCATATTTTGGAAGCTGCCCCCACCCTGTAATAGTGACTATAAGGATTATATTAGGGCCCTATTATATTCCTATTATATCACTATTACAGGGTGGGGGCCCCTTCTAACCCATATTAGTTGGTGCCTCGAGGCTCCTAACGTTACCAGGCTCGGTCGATCGGAAAGACCACAGATACCTTGCGGCCCTTCGAACACAAATAATGTGCTCAATAATCCCTTTGGAGTTTGCTGTAGGAGAACTCCCACATAATTCCTAAGAGCACGAAAGTTGCTAGATAGGGCGTCAAGCCCGTACCTGCTGCCGGCAAACATGTACGGTAACATCAGGTGTCGATCATAAAACTCACTATACTGTACTATGACCATACTCTACCATACCATATTATCCCATACTCTGTTAAACCGTACCGTACGATACTATGCGCCCGAAGTGTGACAAGGAGGTTCAGGCTCAGGGTTTTTGCCGGCTTAGGGAGTTTAGGGAGTTCAGGGTTTTTTTGACACTCACTCTCGGACTAAGCCTGGCAAGGTTTGCAGTTCAGGGCCCAGAGAACCCAATACCCCTTAATTAAGCAATATACCTTCATATTATGATTTAAGCTATATTCCTTAATTAAGGGGTATTGGGCTCTCTGGGGGGTTCAGGGGTCCTAGGGGCTTGAGAGTTTCGAGACTCACCCTCGCCAAAAAATCCCTCCGCATGTGACGACACATCGCCCTGGCCTCCAGATTCAGAGCCTCCGCCGCCTCCGCCTCTGCGAAGATGGCGATTGGGCATTCTTGGGTATTGTACTTAAAGGATCATGGGACTTAGTAACTAGGGTTATAATTAGGGTAACTGTACTTATAAGCCCATTTAAGGTACTTCTAACCTTACTTACTAAGTCCCATGATCCTCCAAGTAGGGCTTGAAAGGCAGACTTATTTCAGAGACGCCCCCATACGATGCCCTGCACAGCCAGAATCCAACGATCCGAACTTGTCCCATTCAACAGGGGGACAGGCTTCAGCTGAGGAAATAGCAACTCCGGAACACACTCGCAACTTTGACGAGCCGAAACTGAAATTGTGAAGTGAGACCGAAACTTTCACGCCCACCGACACAATCGCAGCCTCCCCAGCCTACACCTCAGTCCTCAGCACAGCCCCACACAGCCCATCGTCACATAACCCTTTTTGCCACTGGACTCAAGTCTAGCCAGTTTAAGACCCCTCAACGATGTACCTGACGTGCAGTCTGCATCAACTTCTGTCACAGGGCCTCGTCAAGAGTCGCGGTCGCAGTCGTCTTGGTTTCTGGAAGCTCGCCATCGGAGTCCTCTTTATGGTGCTCCTCTGCTTGGGATTCCTCTATCTCGACCTTGTCCGTTTGCGGTGCTTCCTGATGGTCCTCCTCCTTCTGAAGCTGATCCGTTTGGGGCATCTCCTGCGCAGTGGTTTGTTCATGCTCCTCTGTCTGTGGCTTCTTTTCTTCTACAAGCTCCTCCGGCGGAGACTTTCCCTTCTCAGGCTCCTCCGCTTGTTCCTCTTGCTCGGGCTTTCCCTTCTCAGGCTCATCCGCCTTCTCGGCCTCTTTGTCGTCTTGCACAGGTTGATCCAATTCCATCACTTTTCTCTCATCGGCCGGTTCCTTTGACAACCTGAGCTGCAAAAGCACAAAAGTGTCAGAGGTCACCCTTAGATCCCTCGCCTACGGGTGCTACAGGATTTCAGCAAGATGGACAATCCACCCATGGTCGTGCCATGTTGCCGCTGGCATAGGCGAACAACTTCACCATCACCAGCACACTTGCGCAGGAAGGAAACGGTAAATCATCCGTATTGCAGCCGTCACCAGCATCAGAGCTATATGACCTGTATGAGTTTACCTTCATCATTGTTGCCATGAGCACGATAGTACATGAAACATGAACGGGGTTGACGTCGTCGTCATTTCTACCATCGTGCGCATCACCATCACCATGAGCATCGACACCACCGTGAACATTGCATAACCATCAATAAGGACTGTCACAACGCCCCAAACCATCAAACACCCCGGGGGTCAATTACACTACGAGCATCGGCGACCGCAAGACGATCGGTGCCACCGCACAAGTAAAGAACTGAAGCTGTGACAGTTGTTTCTCCTGGCAGCCCTCCGATTGCCCCTGCTGCTTGGTACTGACGTCCCGACTCTCACGGTGTCTGTGCAATTCCGAAGATTTGCCGCTGTCAATATGCGTGCATCTTGCCACTGTAGTAGCAGTCGTCGCCGTCGTCGTAGTGGTGTGACCATCGTGGCGGTCACGGGCAACAGCACCGATTGCTAACTTGACCGACGGGAGCTGCAAACTAACCATTAGCTTCGATACTATAATATGGCCTTAATAATTAGAAAAGGGTTTTGGGCCCCCTTGTAACATAGATATAATAAGGGACCCCGTCCCCCCAAAAAAAAGTTATAGTGTTGGTACTTATTTACATTTAAGCCCCTATGGTAACCAAAATCCGCCTGTCCTTCTTGCCAAGGCTGTGACTAACTGTGCTGCTGGATGCACCTGCTTGGAGATTCATGGGTAGTTATAAGGAGGGTTATAAGTAGGGTAACCATAACTACAGCCCATATCAGGGGACTTAAAACCCCCACTTGTAACTGCCCATGAAGCTTCAACTATGCCGGCCAACTGACACCCCAAAACTGAGCTGCAACTCTGGCGACTCTGTGGCCAAGTCATCGCCGGGGGCTGGAAGCGCGGGGAATCTGTCCTTGATTGCTGTGTTCATAGGCCCCCAAAAAAGTTTAACTTTCAGTTCTACACAGAACTATAACGTCCCCCCAAAAAACGGTAAAATGGTACTCAGCTACTTAAGTGTCTTCGCCGAAGAGGTCCTCCTGCGTCTGCGCCAAGAGGTCCTCCTGAGCCTGATGCCTGAGCTAAGGCGGCGAAAATACTGGGTTTAGGGTTCAGGAATTAAGGTTTAGGGTTTAGGAAGTTACGCTCTCGCAACTCGGACAAGCCAGACGAGGTTCTTGGTTCGCGTTTGTTCAGCCAGGGGTCACCCAAGTCCCGACAAAAACACACCGAACAGAAGGTAAAGCCATGTAAGACCAGGACTAGGGTTTCGGAAGTTAAGGTTTAGGATTTAGGATCTAGGGTTTCATTTGAAGTACCATAATAGGGGTCCATAGTAAGCAAGACGGTTTCCTTAAAGGAACCCCATTCCCAACTACGAATCAGACAGGTTAAAGACGACCATGCATCAGGCCTACAGGATGCATCGTACGGAAAGGCTGCTGCAAGGGTGAATCCGTGAAAAACTTGGGCACTCACGGGACTCCTAGGCATCGCAGGCGAAGGCATTCAGACAGTTTGGGGGTTTAGGGTTTAGGGGGTTTAAGGTTTAGGGTTTAAGTTCCATGTTTTTGGCAACCAAGCCGAAACATTTACTTGCTGACATCTTCTCCGACCGGGACTGTCTCCTCCGTAGCGCTCTTCGTTCCTGACCTTGCTTCTCAAGACCTTCCGTATCTGCCCCGGTTCTTCGGCTCTCTTCTTCAACAACCGGGCCCCAAAATGTTCAAAAAGTTTAAAGTTCCCCGTTCACTACCTAAGTAATTACTTAGGCTCCGTATGCTAGTCCTCGGAAGTCGCTTCGAGTAGTCCCTATAACCCGGTCAAGAACAGGTAGCATGATGAGGGAGACCCCTTAAAGGGTACCCCTTCCGAACCCTACTTCTGGCTCTCTTGAAAGGGGCTTTATTGAGAGGGTCTATATCCCCAAGGGTCCCCCTAATCCTAACTCCCAAACCCATGACCCTGGAGGATGGCTATGCTAGCACCACTTGAGCAACATCTCAGGAGAGCTCAATACCCCTGACTTTCACGATACACCGCTGTAACTTGAGTTATAGGGGGGGCTGAATATTATTAGAATCTTTGGCATATTCCTTAATTAAGGGCTATTGGGCTCTCTGGGATCCGTCCAAGTCTAAGTCGCACCCCTGAACCTGCAAGGATAACAAGCAAGAGCAAGGACGAGGATTGCAGCGGATGTCGCACTCATACTAGAGATTACAGACTCTCGAGCTTCGACGCTCACGCTCGCACATAGCGAGTTTGGCGTTGAAGGGTTTAGGGACCATGCAGACATAGACAATAAAGGCGGGTAATGGAAAGAACAGCAATAGCCGTAACAACAGTCGCGCGTGCAATCACTGTCGAAGCAACCGGGAGCGAAGTCAATCACAGAAGGACGGTGTCATTGCTGCCCAGCGGCGCCATTGGATACAACAATCACCACAGCCAATTACAAAGTGAATGCAGCATCCCACAAAAATCAGCCTGTTTCCTAAGCGAGGGCAAAGCGAAGCAGCAAAACCGATATCATCATCACCATCACTATCACTATCGCGGACTCCAGCCGAGCGGCAACATCAACAGAAATAGCCATTAACACCACACTGAGCACAAAACCTCTAAGCCCCAACCCGTCGACTGAACCTTCAAACCCTAAACCCCAAAGCATGCACTACTGTTGATGATATAAATCCTGCATGACCTTAAGGACCCTAGACTATGGGAGTTATGGCATATTCCTTCTTTTGGGTAATGCAGGACTTATATCATCAACCGCATGGCACTACCCAGAGACTCCAATATCCCTTAGTTAAGGAATATTCCTTAAATCATATTAGGGGTCCTTTTATAATTTAAGGAATATTCCTTAATTAAGGGATATTGGAGTCTATCATCAACCGTATGGCACTATGGCAGTCCCAGCTTCAGCTCGTCCAAGCGCTCTGCCCTGGCCAAGGCTCCAAGATTCCCACGGCATCAGGTTTAGGGTTTAGGGTTCAGGGTTTAGGGTTTAGGGTTTAGGGTTTAAGGTTTAGGGTTTAGGGTTCAAGGTTTCTGATAATTGGGGGGTACATTATCTGGGGGGTCCTTATAATCAGGATCCTACTATTCCGGGTACTGTATTAGCGTCCCCTATTTTCGGAAACTCCCAGGTGTAAGGTTTCTGATAAGGCTCTACAAGGGCGCTTTGTTGACACTCACACTCGGACAAAGCCTGGCAAGGCCGTTTAGAAGTTCACACAGGTGCTTATGGTTGTTCTTCTGAAGCGAAAGATCATAGCGACACTTGCGATATTAAACAGAAACGCCATACACATAAATAACCGAAGCAATTCAAATCGCAAAAGAACATCTGCATCTAAGACCTGCGAGAAGGCGGCTGGTAGTGATCAAACAGAGCATCACACATCCCTCTTGTGGCGGGAAAGGTAAAATCATCCCAGCAACTGCAAACAAGATAGTTGGGTGCCATGATTCAGAACGACTCCCATGTGACTGATTCCTTCTTTCCGCAACGACATACTTTGACTCTCAGCTTGACTTACATTCCAGCCCAAGGCAAATTTTTGCGGACCCCTTACTTGATCAGGCCGGCTCCACTTTTGCTTCTCCTCTTCGATCGCTTCATCGAAGGTCTTGCTCAAATCTCGGCGGCAGATGCATGAAGCAGCTGTCGCTGCTGACTACTACCACTACTATTCCTCCTCCTCTTCCTGCTGTTGCTGCTTGTTTGCTGCTGCTGGAACTTATGACTCCAGCTGACACTCTTGCTGCTCGGCTAGCTACAACTTCCGAAAATAGGGGACTCTAATATAGTAGCCTACATAGAAGGATGGATCCTTACTATAAGGACCCCAAAAAGGTAACCCTAATTTTCAGAAACTTCCATACCTAAATCGGTGGGATCTTCTTGCACACGCACAACCTGGTTTCAGTACTACCGCTATTTTCTACCGCAAGCTCTGAGGGATTGAAATCGTGATAGCGGTCATATATCAAGGAGCTGAACCTTTCAGTCTAGCCCTACACCCTAAACCCTAAACCGCCCCTGGAGTTTGAAAAGTGCCCCAAGCTTCGATGTTTATGTTCCTGAACGCCACCTACGATAGCCCTTAGAAGGGGCCCCCACCCTGCAATAGTGGTACAATCGGAATGTAATAGGGCCTCCATATAATCCTTATAGGCACTATTACAGGGTGGGGGGGCAGCTTCTAAGATAGCCCTGCAAAACTAGGTTGGCGTTCTGTACCGGAAAATCTTCATACATAAGATCTTCTAAAAAACTCAGCAAGGGCCTGAAAACTTCTAAAACAAAGTAAGGGCCTAAGATCTTCTAAAAACTCAGCAAGGGCCTAAGATCTTCTAAAGCTCATACATCCCTAAACCCTAAACCCTAAATCCTGAACCCTAAACCCTAAACCCTGGACCCTAAAACTCAATAAGGGCCGGCGCGACTTATGCCCGTTTTTTACCCACAGAACGCCGGCAGGACCGAGGCGGAGGCTCTCTCCCTCCTTGCCGGCGTAGAGAACGCGGTGCTTACTTAAAGGACCATGGGACTTAGCAACTAGGGTTCCTCAAAGGGCTCCTTTAAAGGGGTTCCACTATAAGAGGGGTTTATAGGGTCTACTTAAAGGATCATGGGACTTTTAGCAACTAGGGTTCCTTAAAGGGCTCCTTTATAAAGGGGACCTATAGGGGTTCTATTATAGGGTCTACCCTTGAACCTCCAAGTAGAGAGGGCTCAAGACACGCCGTAGTAGGGGGTCGAGGTAACAGGGGCTGGTGCTCACGACGTGCCTGTTTTGTAAGGGGATACTTAGAAAGACTTGCGGGATCTGTAGGACATTTTTAAATTTAAGTTGATGTGAGTCTTTGTGGCTGAATACTCCGTTGCTGCCGCACCATTGGAACAAAGCTTTCACCGATCAGTATGGACATAACGAAATCAACGAATGCGCCCAATGTCGTAGAGGAAAGTTTCCCCCCCTGTTTTGCTGGCTTTGGGATTGAAGTTGTTTTTTGTGGGCTCCTTTTCTCACTGCCGTTACGGGCATTTGAGTCTAGGGTATAGTGTTTCTCGCATTAAGCAGAGAGTCTATCCCAGACCCAACCCTAAACCCTAAACCCAAGGCTTTTCAACCGCATGGACATCTCATGTCGAAGCTTCAGAATCTTTGCGATGTTAAATATATGGGAGTTTCCGAAAAAAGGGCCTTATTATAAGGACCCCAAAGTAAGGCACCCCCTAATTTTCGGAAACTCCCAAATACTACCCTTATGGAATTGGGTCCCAAAAGACCATCCTCATTATGGCCTTAGGGACCTAATTCCATGATAATAGTGGTGTATATGGACCCTCTTTTATATTAAACAGTGCCGGCTCCGGGGGAGCAAGGTTTCAGGAACAGAAGATTAGTTTGCACGGCTTTTGCAGGGCTTTCGGTCCTCCAGCAGATCCCGCATTTCTTTCAGAAGATCAGCCTTGCCGACATGTCTTGTACGAGTAATACAGAGGCCTCAATAATAATAGTTGGTAACAGGGTTTGGGGTGTATTACAGTATAATTAGAATAAGGAACCCCCAAATCTTGTTGCCTCCTGCATGGCTGAATACACGCAGCAGGGTAGTGTAGATAATATTAAGGCCCCTATATTGGCAACCTTACAGTACCCTTGGGTAGTCTTGTGAGAACCAAAGTAACCCTTCCAGTCGAATTTTCTCTGGCACATCCACAGTCCTGCTCATGCGTTGGGGCTTACGTTTTTATGATAGCCTGATCTAGGATGAGACTGTCGGGCGTCAGGACCATCTAAGAGAAGCACTGAAGCCAAAACGTTCAACCTCTTCACCCTCTACCAGATGCTCTACTCTAAACCTGAACACTAGGTCTACATTCTATCAGCAGGGAAGCACCCCAAATGACCAAATGACCGGCTTCTTGTTGTGCTTAAGCACTTTCGCGTTGGCGCTGGAACTGTGCGCCGGCGGTGGCTTTCCAAAGAAAGTGTCGCCGTCGTTGTGGCAGATCAGAGAAACATGCATGTGACACCTAGTGCTTGGGCCTTTGCGAAGCGGGTGCCCTTCTGAGATTTCAAAATCTATTCCAGCTCGCGCGGCTTCAGTGCACAAGCCTCTTGTTCTAGGATCCCTATGGTCTCGTGCTCCCTAAGGTTCCCCTCAGGTTCCTGAAGGATCCCTTGTACCCTCCGCCCTTGAACCACCCTCCCTTTAGGACCATATAATCTTGAAAAGGCCTGGGTTCAGGGTTGAGGCATGTCCGGGCTGGAGAGCTTGTATTTGGAGGTTCATGAGTAGTTATAAGTGGGGTTATAAGCAGGGCAACCATAAGTATAACCCATGTTCGGGGACTTATAACCCCACTTACAACTACCCATGAACCCGAAACCGTATAGAACCCTTAAAGACACCCTAAACCCTATAGAACCCTTAAAGGAACCCCTCAGTCCCACTTATAACTACCCGCGAACAAGTAAGGTTTAGGACTCTAGGACTCAGTAGCTTTGGTCGGGGTTAGACCGGCTCGGAGGGTCCCCAAACTACCCAAGGTGCCAAGCAAACCCTTAGCCCCCAAGACCCAGAAAGCAAAAACTGAAACCCAGACTGCCGAACCCCTCAACCCTAAACCCTAAACCCCTAAACCCCTAAACCCCTAAACCCTAAACCCCTAAACCCCTAAACCCCTAAACCTCTAAACCCTAAACCCCTAAACCCCTAAACCTCTAAACCCTAAACCCCTAAACCCTAAACCCCTAAACCCTTAACCCCTAACCCCTAAACCCCTAAACCCCTAAACCCCTAAACCCCTAAACCCTAAACCCCTAAACCCCTAAACCTCTAAACCCTAAACCCCTAAACCCCTAAACCTCTAAACCCTAAACCAATTTTCAGCATGGGCTTGGATTGTGTACCCTAAACCCCTAAACCTCTAAACCCTAAACCCCTAAACCCCTAAACCTCTAACCCCTAAACCCTTAACCCCTAAACCCGTCCACCCCTAAACCCCTAAACCCTCCACCCCTAAACCCCTAACCCCTCCACCCCTAAACCCTAGACCCCTAAACCCCTAAACCTCTAAACCCTAAACCCCTAAACCCTCCACCCCTAAACCCTAAACCCCTAACCCCTCAACCCTACATCTCCAAAAACCCCGAATGATCAGAACCCAAGGCCCGTAAGCGCCAGAACAGAAGCACTCACACACACCCCTGCTTAAAGGGATCTATAAGGGTTCCTTAAAGGGATCTATAAGGGTTCCTTAAAGGGATCTATAAGGGTTCCTTAAAGGGATCTATAGGGTTTAGGGTTTAGGGTCTACTTAAAAGATCATGGGACTTAGTAACTAGGGTTACAATTAGGGTATCTATACTTATAACCCCAATTAAAGTACTTATAGCCTTACTTACTAAGTCCCATGATCCTCCAGGTGGAGGGCCTCAACTCGAGGACACAACTGAGGTGACCCTGAGATGGTGGTAAGGGAAATGGATGACAATCAATCTTGACCCCGATTGCAGAAAATCCGTCACGCCTAAAAAACCTCAAGCTTGACCCCGATTACAGAAGATCCGTCACGCTAAAAAAACCGCCAAGAAAATATACAACGTTCGGCAAACTGAACTGCAATGCCGCTACTAAGGCTTCAAGAAACGACCTTCGCAGTCAGGCTCCATTATGGGGATTTGTTGGGAAGGGGCCCCAATGCTTTCGATCTTTCAACTCAGCGCCCGGCAGACGTCTTCAAGAGATCTGTGTCCAACGCTACTTCCCTGGAAACAAGCAATGGAAGCTTGGCTCAGTTTAGGGTGTAGGGCTTTTCAGTATTTAGGGGTGCGCTTTCACCTCGTCACCAGGCCTGTCGGAGTGCGAATCCTGCTTTTTAGGCGGCAGCAATTGAGACTCAAGAGCTAAGGAACAAGCTTGGGGCTTGACAGGAACCCGTATGAACCCTTAGAGCCACCTGTATAGAACATCTCAGGAACCCATATAGGAACCATATACAACCCTATAAATATAAAGCCCTACAGAACCCCAGAAGATCCCAGAAATCGGGTGAAAAGAAATCCAAAGAAGTAGTTCAGGGGCCTTCATGATTAGAACAAGGTTTTGGGGCCCATTGAACTCCAATTATAATAAGGAACACCCAAAATAGTATTGTTAAGCATAGGCCCTTATACCACCGAAACCACGAATGCATCGACCTCGTCGTCTCAGAGGGTGCCCCGTCTTGGATGGCAAGCACCGGTTCCCCCTCCTGCAACAGCTTCGTTTAGGGATTTGGGTCTTGGGCCTTTTGGTGTGTAGGGTTCTTTGGGGGGCCTGAGGGTTTAGGGTATGTAAGTGGTTTACGGCTTTATGGGGTTGTGGGTTCCGGGATGGGCCAAATGATCCCTTTGTGAGTACTATTCTGACTGCTCCTCATGGATCAGTTCAGACAGCAGACCCTGTAGATAGTGTTACCCGTGTCGTTGTTCACGGCTGCTTCCTTTGAAACAGGACGCTCGGCGAGCATGTGCAGCTTACCCTTCGTGTAGGGTTCGCATGGAGGTGGTATGCGGTTCGACGGTCTCCGTGCACATCTGTATTGAAAACTGCGTACTGGGCTTTGTACAAACATACATGCGCTATATGAACTGGCATCGATGAGATTGTGTTTGTGTTGTGTGTGTTTATCGACTTAGGCTGTGGCACTGCCACGCGGCTACAGGCGTGCCGGATTGAGCTTACCCTAAACGGCGTTTGCATGGTGCAGGGGCTTCGCACATTTTGCTGAAGATGGGGCCTTACTTTGTTGTCCAGTTTCCTATTGAGGACTACAAAATTTGGGTCTTGCTTAGTTGTCCAGTTTGGTAGGGGGGAAAAGTTAACCTGTGGGATTAGATAGGGACGACAGTATCCTAAAAAGGATATGTAAATTTATATATACATGTATATATATATATATCATCATCATTATCATCATCATCATACATATATGTATATATATATACATATATATATATATGTATGTATATATATATATATATTATTCACGGAGGCATATTTTGCTTGCCCACTCCAGAAATCTTTCCCCAACCAAACCACCGAATTCATAAACCGCTTTTGGAACTACTATACAAGCCTTAATGGAATACGGTTTCCGGCGACCTTACACTGCAAATACCATAAGGAACGCTAAGGAATACCATTGGCACTTATTCCGACCCTATGTAGAAGCCTGAATAACCAGAATAGGGTTTGAGAGTATGTCAAGCTATAATTATAATAAGGAGCCTCCAAAATGGTAGGGAATCATTAGGGCCCCTATACCCTACACCTTATAGATCCCGTTTATAAAGGAACCCTTATACTACCCTTTAAAGGAACCCTTATACTACCCTTTTAAGGAACCCTTATACTACCCTTTAAAGGAACCCTTACTCTGTTTGGCCCCCTGGCGGTGCCTGTGCTGAGGGGTCGGAATCTCGGGACCATGGGATGAGGATCTACTTGGAGGACCATGGGACTTAGTAGTTCCTTGAAGGGTACCTCTAGGGGTCTATAATAAAGGGCTCCTTAAAGGGATCCTTAAAGGGATCTATAAGGGTTCTATAATGGAGGATCATGGGACTTAGTAAGTAAGGTCATAAGTACCTCAATTGGGGTTATAAGTATAGTTACCCTAATGATAACACCAGTTACTAAGTCACATGATCCTTTAAGTACTTGGAGGTTCGTGGCTAGTTATAAGCGGGGCTAGAGGGCTTTAGGGTTCTTTGGGTTCCCTGGGGTTTAGGGATTGGGGTTGAGGGGAGTTACAATGTCGGGTTGTACGTCCCCCAAAATGGGCTAATTATAATAATGGTTACCCTACGTAAAACCCACTTATAACTACCCATGAACCTCTAAGTACATCCAGGCCCATAGTACAGGAGCTTTAAACAAATCGAGGGATATTCAAGCTTCAGGGCTCAGGGAGGGTTCATGGTGTAGGGCGTAATGGGCTTTCATCAAGAAGCCCGAAACGCTGAAGCCTAAACCGTTTTGCAATAAGCTTCTCTTGCCCGGGACAAAACACTAAACTACATTCCGAGGCCGGTCGAAGGAAACCGTGCCTGCATGTCGCCCACCGCAGGCGGATGTCCACTTCGTGGCGGCACCTGTCGGAGGGTTTAGGGTTTTGAGTGAGAAGGCAACAATCATAAACCCCCTTCGGCCTTCGGGGTTTGTGGCTTAGGGCTGCGGCCTTCTGGCGTTGCTCACGTTTGCTGTATGCGGGAAGTTGTTGCTAAGCAATTTGGCTGTGCTGCCAGGTGCCGGTGGAATCACTGAGGGAACCTGAACCGTCAATCTACGCTCAAGTTCTGCTGCCCTAGACCCAACAACATGAGAACTGCCAAACTTCACACCCTCATATCTGAAGCCTGCTGTCGGACAAACGACTCCACCCCCGGATAAACATGTGCGGTGATTTGTGGTCCTACCCTCCATGTGGAGCTTACGAAACAAAAGGACCCTACTTAAAGGATCATGGGACTTAGTAACTAGGGTCATAATTAGATTGATTGATTGATTGAGTTCGGACCGTCGAGCCACGTCTTGTGGCGCGTCCCAAAATTGCGAATTCAAAAGGAGCATGCACATGGACCCCGCATCCAAAAGGCCTTCGCTGTCGTCCTCGGACCTTCGACTGAGCGAGCGGCAATGTGAGAATCTATCCATGTAATGTCCTCCTGCCTGGGCTGGTAGACGGGTTTCAAGGTGTCTAAAGTCACCTCCTCGTCATAAAAGTCCAACCCCTGTACACGCTCTGCGGCCGTAGGGATGAGGGGGAAGAAGTGTGTGGAGGACTGCTGTACCCCGCGAAAGCTGCGCCACTGGCCTTTGCGCAGGCATTTCTCAGCGGCGACGGTAGCAGCCTCGACAGAACGAATTTCCTCTGTCGACATAGGTGGCAGAATGCTGCACATTCGCCGTAGGCAGCGGTCCTTAGTCTTCAGGTGCATCTGGGTCAGACGGATGCTGCCTGTCCAACGATGACAGGCCAAGCAGTAGTCTCCAAATGCAAAATGACGTGCCGGACTCCACACCTGATGCCGTCTGGAGAGGTGTGTCCCTAAGTGTTTCCTTAAAGGAAAACCCGCGGGACAAAGGTGACACTGGTAGGGACGAGGGGCTGACTCTAGCTGCTGCGAGTCCGCCGCGCCTCCATCCGCAAAGTGTATGGACCCGGTTTTGGCCCATTGCGCCAAGCCCTTCTGAAAGACGCCATGTGCCTTTTTTACCTGCTGGAGCCACCATGTTGCATCCTCAGCGAGGGCATCAAGCAAGGTATGTAAGGGCTCCGATCCCTGAAAAAGAGGCTTCAACTGTGGCAGGTAGGAGCTGACAAGGTGTATGTCCGCCTCAACCTGTCTGAACCAAGAGCTGGCAGGGTGCCCGTACCAATGATCAAACAAGTATTGTCGTAGGACTGCAGGTCCATTGGTTGTTATCTGTCGTAGGAGGGCAGCTCTGGCCTTGGCAAGGGCAAGTGGCGGTGAAGGGGCAGCAGCCTTCCTTAGGACCTCTAGACTGTGGACAGATTTGTCCTCTGCAACCCGAGGTGTCAATGCCCGCCATGCATCGACATACATTCTGTCCCAGGTACGCTGATGGATGGCGGCAGGCAAAATGACAGCCGCACTAGAGTGAACAAGCCTGGAGAGGGCCAAAGCATGGAGGAGTGTTCGCCTGATGGCGAGGGGGATGTCGCGATTGCCAAACAGCTTACGTTTCAAGGAACGCACGGCCCCATAGGCCTGTGAACGCCGCAACAGAAGGTCTGGTTTCGGCGTCGCGCTCGAAGTAAGAATGCCCCCGAGGTGCTTGTAGGCATGTACGATTGGCAAAACGTGCCCCTCCTGTGCGACGGAGTCCCATACTGTCAGGCCTGGACCATCGGCAGTGTGGACTAATATGTCGCAGTGTTGTGACCAATCAATGCCAGCAGGGAGAAGAACTGCGGTCTTCGTTGGCGCAAACGTCAAGCGCATGCCGATAGACGTGGCTCTGGAAGTGACAATGCCAGTCGCTCGCACTGCTTTGTCAACTAACTGGCCTGGACTGTTGCCCTGTTGGGGCACGAAGAAGTCGTCTGCCCAGGCAGGGCAGGCAATGGTCTCGCCTTCCGCTCCACTGGCCCATGGATGCCTGTCTGCATTTTCTTCGGCTGCAAGGTCTAGGCCCGCATCTTGCAGTGCATGCTGCGTGGTGCGAAGATATGCGCTGAACGACAGTGCAAATAGAATGTCGGCGGCAGGGTCGCCGGGGCGCGACCCGCACGCCGTCCATGTTAGGACGTCGTAAGCGTCGACTCTGAACCAAGTCGCTCTCATCATGTCCTGAACCATCGCTGTCAGCTGTGCCGGCGCATCCAATGTCGGTAAGATCGAAAGCCGATGCAGCTGTGCCAGGAGTTCGTCGATTGCTCCCGACGGTAGACCCATGCGGTGAAACAGGGCCAGCAGCTGCGTGTCGTCGTCCCGGTGCGGCACTAGCATCTGGCGAATGATTCTATAGAAGGCTGCCTGAATGTCCACGAACACGAGGGCCCACAGCTTTCGTTGCTGATGGTAACGTAGCTGAAAGCTGCGGGCGGCGAGTGCCACTGCCTCTATGCCTGTGCCGCCTAGGGCTCCCATCTGAAGTGACGGCTTGTGGCTGGCATGAACTGGCAGTAGTTGGTTCCTCAAATGCCTATGATAGACCTTCGCTGGAATTGAAGAAATGAGGATTGATCTGAAGTTGCTACATTGGAGTGAAGAGCCGATCTTCTTCGCCAGGCAACATAAAACCCCTCCGCGGAACTCAACTGGCTCTTGAAGAGCCAGAGTCGTCTTCAAGGTAATGGGAAACAAGGCCCTGGCAGCGACTGTGGGGCTAATCTTCAGCAACTCGGCAGAGATGTTGTCCGGGCCGGCTGCCTTTCGAACCTTTAATCCCACAATGATGGACTCCAGGTCACACAGCGATGGAACGGACTGAAGATCAAAAGTAGGCTTGTCGACAACAGTGGTGGGGAAGGCTTCCACGTATTCCTGCGCCGTCATTGTCATGCCTGCTTCCTGTTCAGCAAAATGTCGACGCCAGCATTCGGATTTGGCTGCAGGAGTGGTGACTAAGCATCCCTCCTGATCCATGACAGCAGGCAGTGGCCTAAGGCCGTTGCGACGCGATGATTTCGCTGTAGGGAATGCCTTCCGAACTGTTCGGTATAAATCTGCTGGATGTTTGAGGTCGCACAGTGTGACCTCACGAGTAAGGCCATTGAGGTAGGCAATCCTGTCATTGGAGACACGCCTACGAAGTGCCTTGGATAGCACCCTCAGAGTGGCAACTGCAATGGCTTCACTGTAGTCCATGTCGCGCAGCCAAGTGTCCGCGGCTTCGTGGGCCGGACTAGCAAAAGCCTCGTGGTCACGAAGCAGTCGAAAAGCGGCAAAGCCGATTAGAAGCCAGCGACGCTGGCGCTCTTGACGTTCGGCATTGAGGTAGGTGCGTAGGGCTTTGCACCATCTAGCAGTAACGACTGTGCCTTGTTGTATGTAGCACTGCACTGGGCGAGAACTAGTCGGAGGCGTCATGCCACGACCAGCCTCGGTCCATTGTTGCACAAAGTGCGCGTACTGCTGATCGACACTGGCGTGCCATGGGCAGTGCGGAAGGCTTTGCAGTAGAGCCTGACGCTCAGTCTGCTGTTCATCAGAAACGGCCGGGTGCGGACGTACGCATCTGCGCCGACAGTCGAGGTATGGTGCATCAGTAACCGGCTTGCAAAATTGGATGCTCGCAACAGCCGGCGAGTGATCCTCTCGCAGCTGTAATGCTTCAAACCCGTGCAAAACCTGTGTACGAATGCTCATCTCCTTCCAAACAGTTGGCAGCCCTACGTAATCTATGCGGTGGGTCTGTCCTAGGCAGGACCTCCAAGTGTGGCTGCCCCCGGTGTGGACCCCCTCAAAGGTCGCAGGAAGAAACAGCGATGTTTGTGCTAGAAAATGATGGAACAGCACGCCGGCATCGTTTTCCGGCTCTGCATCATGATTGGATATGTGCTCTGACTCGACATCGCCAACCTGTGAGTTGGCGTCTACGAGAAGAATGCATTGCGTACCATCCGGGCGACGAGATATGTCGGAAGCCCGTTGTTGCCAAAACTCAATGACTTCACTACGTGGGTGATTGGCTAAAGAGGGAGCATGGGCAACGATAACGAAGAGTCGAAGATGTGGCGCAATGATGGAAGCGCACAAATGCCGGGAAGAATGTCCGGCAATGACAATGTGCTGTTCTTGGAAATAAAACTTCTCCCCGCTCGCCCATGCGTAAGGGGTCTTTTTGGCGACCCACAGCGCGCAGCCTCCAACGCCACGATCAGTGGCAGACGCCTGGTAAATGTAATACTGGTCGTCCGGGGCAAGCACAGATTCTTGGAGGCGTGTTTCCTGGAGGCCTATCAAGAGGGGCTTGTGTCGCTCGAACTCACGCTTGAGCATTGCCCGTCGACCCATGAGCATCATACCGGCAGGGACAGGTCCAGTCTTACCTTTGACATCCTTAAGCGTAAGGACATTGAAGGAAACAACTGTGAGGCTGAAATCAATTCGGCCTTTAGGAGGCGTAACCTGAGTTATCCCAAGTTTGGGTGCAACTGTGGGATGTACGGGTCTGTCACGAAGGCGCACTGCTTCCGACTCTAGAGCAAAAAGAGTTGGAACATCCGGGCCATTCGCAGCGAGCATCCATGTCCATTTCAGCAGTGGGTGGGCAAACAGCTCTGCAGGCCACGATGGCAAGCACGTGGCATCGGCGACATAGGCTTTACGCCGTGCGGTCTTGGCAACAGCATCTGTGGCCTCATTACCGAGAGCTCCTGAGTGCCCTTTCACATGACGATGACGGATGTCACAAACCCTTTGAAGATACTGCCTAAGGGAGGAGGCAAAATCTACAACCGTGACCCCTCTATCGTGATGGGGATATGAGACTGGTCGCCATTCCCCAAAAATGCTCTTTCCAGCTGCCTCAGCATCATAGTAAAAAGCTATGGGGGCACCAAATGGTTGTCCGAACTCGATGGCCCACACAATGGCCCATGAGAGCGCTAATAACTCGCCTG